AAAATCTAAATGTATTCTCTTAAGTGACATAAACATATTTGACTAAATGTGAAACAAATTCATCCTCATTAAATTTTTTTCTGTTTTGAATAATACAGTTGTTTTCATTAACCATCTGTTGTCTGTATAAACATACAAGTGTTTGTTATTAGTTTAAAAGAATTTTTGCATTTTTTCATTTTAATTTTCAATATGGTAAGTATGGATAGCTAAGACTTCCCATAAACAAAAGCTCTTTGGGTTCACGGATAACTTTAAGAGTAGAAAGAAATCCTGAAGCCACAACATTTGAAAACGACTGCTCTAGGGTCACTCCCTGCCTGTCCACCCTTCATACTGCCACCATCTTTCCAGTCTTCACGTTGATCATAACACTCCCTATCCATGGCATACTTTCATGTGTAGTACAGGGTCCTCAGTGGTCTATCCTGCCTAACTTTCGAGTTTTATGTCATACCACTCCCTTCCGTGCAGGGTGATGTCCACCCATAATGAATTTCATGTCGTTGCTCCCAAACTCCCCGCGCTCTTTCTTGTCTCTGCATCTGCACACATGCCGCCCCCACCCCGGCCTGCTCCGTGTGTCTCTACTAATGTGTCTCTATTAATGTGTCTTCCTACCAACCCCTTTCCAACCACCACCACCATAAGCCCCCAGTTGAATTCCAACTAGCCTGCAAAACCTACTCCAATATCACTTCCTCAGGGAAATTTCCCCAAATCTTACCTCTTTCTCCCTTCCCTGGGAAGAACAAATTGATACTTTTTATGAACCTCAGACAATCACCAGCTGTATATAACTGTATTATAATTATTTGTATAAAAATCTGCCTCCCACATTGGACTGTCAGCCCCGAGGAAGTGACCATGGGTTCCTGGTTCAAGCAGAGTACTGATTCATAGAATCCCTCCGTAAATATTTTCCAAATAAATGATTTTGAGATCCCTTCCAGATTTGGAATTCTGCAGTTTATTCCTCATATAGGATATACTGAACCGTAATCTTTTTACTGGTTAACAAAGGGATGTATTTGCTTTATTCGCACACATTCACCCACAGGCTTTTTGGTTTTTAGTTAAAGAGATCATCTCCTAAGTTTTTTTCATATCTTTTTTGTCCTTGCAAAGATAGCTCTGGAGAAAATTTGATATATTAAATTTTATGTATTTTAATAAATTATAATGTGCATATAATCATTAATAATATATATATTCCACACCAAGGCATCAGTAAGAATTAATTTTTAAAGTCTGCTCTAATATGAATGTAAAATTATGTAAGAACTCTGTATAATAAGCTCACAGAGAACAAAAAAGGAGAACAAAAAAAGTAAAAGAGAACTGCCAAAGAACTATGAGGGGTTTCTTAACCGCAAAATTGTCAGTGAAGTCATGAGAAACTCTAACTCACTAAATTCTTTAATTTCTCAGCCTACCCAAATATTGGGCAAACCCTAATTCCCTTGTAGGGGAAAAGCTGAGTCTGGAACTAGCCTGTCTTCCGAGGACTTAGAGACAACGGTATGGGAATTTCAACGAGACATTTTTACTTTCTTTTGATCAAGATTCAAATTCTTTATTTCAGCCTTTGATAAGTAAATAAGAAGGTAAAAGACTACTTATTTTAAAAAAATTTTTCATGATTTTGTGATGGCACCTTGTTCCATATCATCTCAGATAAATCAGAATAATTTGTGAAAGTTATTCAGTGATTTCCACATTAGATATTTTAAACCTAATTTTATTTCTAAAACAAAAACCAACCAAGAGACGACTCCAATTAAGTAAAATGTATGTATTAATATCAATTAGCTATTCCCATCTGGAAAAGGGCAGCCATCTCTGTGTTGAGGTGCCTCAATGATACTGAGGCTGAGACAGGTTAGATGATACAGGCATACCATTAGCGGCAGACTCAGTACTAACTCAGCTCTCCCATTCCAACCGCAGTGTGTTTTCCATTCATTGTCAATAAAGACATCAAAATTAGTTGAAAACCAAATCCTCAAATCAACCTTTTTTTGTTGTTGTTTTTCTCCTCTAAGAAAGCGACCATGTTTCATAGAATTTCCTTAAGACATGTTTGTCATGCTGTTTCATTTTCATTCAGCACTTGGGAAGAACCACAGCCATTCAATTCATGGCAGGTGATATCAGACAGATGGTTTACACATCTTTGGGTACTTAAGGCTTGCAGAAAATGCTCAAACTCTTTCTGCACTCCAAAGCATCAAAGCTGTGATTATTCCACACAGCTTAGAGTTGGATTGATTATGTGGCCGTCAAAATTGACATAAGATGTCTAAAAATGTTAGTTTTATTTTGTGCTGCCCCTCGTAAATTTAGAAAACACAAAATAAATGATCAACTGACTTTTGAGTGAAATCGAATTTTCTCAAATCTTTCGATTCGTGTACTATACCACTTGATGGAGAAAACAAAAAGTGTGCTGCCCAACTATAAAACAGAAGTTCTGGGCCGGGGGGGTCATGCTGTACCAGCATTTGGGAGGCGAGATGGGTGATCAGGTCAGGAGATCGAGACATCCTGGCTAACAGTGAAACCTGTTCTACTAAAAAACAAAAAAAAAAACTAGTGGCAGGTGGCGCCTGTAGCCAGCTACTGAGTGGGAAAAGCGAGGCAGTGAGCTGAGATCCGCACTGTATATGGCAAGAAATTAAAAAAAAAAAAAAAAAAAAAAAAGAACAAAAAATGGGAAAAATGACATAACTTTTGACAGGCCTGATATTTTATTTTATAATTTATTTAGAATATACTTTCATAGTAGCAAAAATATATAATGACAATGTTATATCATTATATTATATCAAAAAAATATAATGACAATGTTATTTCAAAGAAAAAGACATATGGTACATTAAAAACACTTTTTGGGCCCGGCACATTGGCTCACCCCTGTAATCCTAGCACTTCGGGAGGCCGAGGTGGGCGGATGGCTTCAGCCCAAGAGTTTGAGATCAGCCTGGGGAAAATGGCGACTGAAACCTCATCTCTACAAAAGATACAAAAAATGATCCAGGCATGGTGGAGGGCACCTGTAGTCCTAGCTACTCAGGAGGCTGAGGTAGGAGGATCACCTAAGCCCGGGAGATCAAGGCTGCAGTGAGCCGTGATTGTGCCACTGCACTCCAGCCTGAGTGACACAGTGAGACACTGTCTCAAAAAAATCATAATAGTATAAAATAATAAGTAATTTTATAAAAACACTTTTTTTTGTCATTGGAACAGATCAAGGAACTAGTAATTAAGATATAAACTAAACACACACACACACACACACACACACACACACACACACAGACAAAATAACCCATATTGTTTTTCTTATGTTACTAAAAGATCCAGAGCATCTGATTGTAAGCTCAAGTACATGTAGTGAGCTGCCAAGAATTAGAGGGCCATTTAGGGATAAAATACTATGTAACCTAGAATAAATGTAGGGACAGAGGGGTATGGTAGGAATTGGGAAAATGTCACAGATAACTTTGATCATGACTTTGGTGTCATAGTGGTAGGTTCTTTTATAAGATGACTGATGTACTTATTTTATTTGGTATTGTCATTTTTTCTATATCTTTAGTTTTTAAATGTGGTTTTTGGCATAATGCAAAATAAAATAACTCATGTTTCAAAATTTATGTAGCTGATTTCTTGTGGTTTTGATAGTTCTATTATGTATCCTACAAATAGATTTTTGTTCCTTTCCCGGAGAAATTGAGCAGGGCCGCTCCATCGGTCGGCCTTCCCTTCTTTCTCAGCCAAGTGATCGGCATGTGTGAGTGTGCCCCTATACGCTGCACTTCTCAGTTCATTCCTTTAATTCCGTGGTCATAGTTGTGGTTCCAGTACAGCAAGAACTGTTTAAAGAGTGGTTTGAATTATGAGGATGCTTGAAACCCTAAAAGGGGAAAATGGCTAGGGAAACTGAAGATAATTTAATTATGATAATTTACAGCAATGTAGTGCTTACTAATTCCAAAAACTATTCTAGACACAACATAATTAACTCATTTATTCCTTATGATAACCTGGGAGATTGGCTTCCCTACTATCCTCGTTTTATAGATGAAGTCAAGCAATAAGGCATTACTTTGTCCATGATCACACAGCTCATAAGCGACAGAGCCAGGGTTTAGAACAGACAGAGTCTAGCACCTGAGTCCATGCTTTTAACCACTATACTAAATGGAAGATTCAGGGAAAATGTTAAAATTGTCTTGGAATAATTGAAGGGCAGCAGATTGAAATAAGAAGTAAACATATTCTCCATTGTTTCAGAAGGAAACAGAGTCTGGCTTAATAAAAGAAAGGAAATGCTAAAGATAGATAGATTTTTCTGGAGGTAGTGGCTTCCATGTCCCTGCTGGTTGGTGATCAGATCTTTTCTGGAGCAGCAGTTGTCAATGATGGTAACAATGAGAACAGTGGTTGGGTTTGGCAAAACTTCGTTTTCTATCCTCATTTGTATGAGTCAGGGATGTATCACAATAATTGCATTGTTACCAGTACTTCTTTATTTGGGGAGCTACAAAGTTATGAAAAGGTGGGGGGTATTATGCAGAATAATTAAGCAATTTTATTGACAAACTTTACTGGCATTACTCTTTTGCTGAAAGTATACTATATTTTGGTGGAAAGGTGTCAAAACAGAATTTTTTAATGCTCTTAAAAAATGGACAAAATTATATATACTTGAGATAAAATATAATGTTTATATGTATTATATATACTATACATTGTAGAATGGCTAAATCAAACTAATTAACATTAAGTACAGACTTTTGATAGATTTATAAACTTGGCTTATTGAGAATTAGGTTGAATGACAAAGTTTCCAAGTTCAAATGTGTAGTGTGGTGCTAAAAGCATGACTTAATGTTTATAGCTTTAACAATTACTAAAAAATGACATTTTAGTTGATTTTCTTATACCCAATTGCTTGCTTTCCTAACTCTCGGGCAATTTTTCTTTTATTGCAGGCAATTCATATGCAAGAAGCTACACGTAATTAAATGTGCAGGATGAAAAGATGGCACAGGCACTGTTGGTACCCCCGGGACCTGAAAGCTTCCGCCTTTTTACTAGAGAATCTCTTGCTGCTATCGAAAAACGTGCTGCAGAAGAGAAAGCCAAGAAACCCAAAAAGGAACAAGATAATGATGATGAGAACAAACCAAAGCCAAATAGTGACTTGGAAGCTGGAAAGAACCTTCCATTTATTTATGGAGACATTCCTCCAGAGATGGTGTCAGAGCCCCTGGAGGATCTGGACCCCTACTATATCAATAAGAAAGTGAGTATTGGTTTTAGACTTTCAATAAATCTTTAATTAAACTCTTAACTGTAATATACTTTTCTGGGCCTTATATACAGCATCATAATTTTTCTCCTGTTAAAGATTTTATAACACTCTTCACTGTCACTTATTTTTAGTACAATATAATAAAACAAACATTTATAAGAAACGAAGTCAAGAGTTGGTTACAGTGAGGATATATGAATAGATGAATGATTTCTATAATTTCACAGTAATTCAGATAGTCAAAATTAAAATTGATATCAGCAAGGTGAAATATCTGTTATGGCTGATATGTTCAAGCACAGGATAGTCTACAGAACAATACCGATGCAGAAAAGAATTATGAGCGTATGTTGTACTTAATTATTTTTTAGTTCATGATTGACTTGATGTACCTTCACAATAATTTGTATTCCAGAGGACAATAAATAATCTTCTGCTTAGCACCCTCCTATAGGCAGATAATACGTGAAGAAGCATGTTCACTCAGAGATTCCTTTTTCTCCCCAGTCACCTAGAATATGATTAGGATCTTCTCTTAACCTTATATAGTCTGTGGCATGCTAGATTCTGGATCACCTATACTGTTAAAACATCACCCTGAAGAAAAAAATGTCAAAATTGGAAGACTAAAAAAAAGAACTTTCAAATTTTCTCCATCTATACATGGTTTAAATTAATAGTTATGACTGTGCTTTCCTAATGCTAAAATACATGCATAACTGTATCAGAATTAGTTGGTTTCTATAGTTAAACTAGCTGGGTGGTATCTTATAGAAAATATAAAAAATAGGTGGTACACTCCATTCTTTCTAATTGGATATTAAGGCATTTTATAACCACGATTTATATTTTACACTTATAAGCATAAAACTAGTTCAATGTAGAAACTAAAGATAAATTAATATCACCATGAGTTGATGACATAGATTATGGAAGATATTGAACACCTTTATTAGTCAAAGCACATCCTTTTGAAAGTTTATAATTTAACTTTATAAAATCAGTGATGGCTAAAGGAAATGACAACCATTCAGACATGGAATTAGTCCTGTTGTTCTAAGTAAGTACTTCTCAAACTTGCACATCCATACAGATTACCTCAAGATCTTTTAATTTGCAGATTCTGAATCCATAGGTCTGGAGCAGGGCCAGAGATCCTGAATTTCTTACCAACCATCAGGCTGTTACATGGCCATACTTTGAATAGCAAGCTTTAATGTTTTATTTAAAGCCATAAAAGTACATGTAAATAGTTAAACAGATTCTTCTTTTACCCTTTTTATAGCTAGTTTCATAAAAGGCGACATTTAACACATTCATGTACTTCTAAAAATAACTTATTTCAACAATTTACTATAGAATTGATAAAGAAAAATTTGAAATTTAGTTATGATTATTACAATAAGTCACCACCCCACCGCCCGCAAGAAATTGGAAAAAAAATATTATCCAGTGAAAACTGTTGCTCTGAAGGATATATTTGTAAAGATATCTTTAAGAGAGGAGGCATGATTCACTCTGCTATGATTAAAAATATTTGCTACTTAAAGAAAGGAAGTGTCCTTAAAAAAGTGAATCAATCAGCCTGGTAGGATTAAGGGGGAAACGAAAGGAGAACATTAGAGGCAAGCGTTAGTATTTTCCAAGGGAGACAGAACTTTAGTAGCAGCACTGAAAGCATTTTCTTCCCAAAGGCCAGGCCACCTCATTGTGCAGGGGCTACACTGAACTACCTAACACATGCTCTTAAACATTCCACATCATTCGATTAGGTCAGCTGTCTTGGGTTCCACACTCAGCAAGAAACCTTCTGATTCCAATTTGTTTTCCCCTAAATCTGCTTGAAGAAAAGAACGTGCTGGCTACATCCCTACAATTATCTCAGTCCATATGAAAGTAATGTATCTCATTGTAAATAAATAGATTGGAGGCCAGGCATGATGGCCCACACCTGTAATCCTAGGGCTTTGAGAGGCCAAGGCAGGAGGATTGCTTGAGGTCAGGAGTTCGAGGCTGCAGTGAGCTATGATTGTGCCACTGCACTCTAGCCTGGGTGACAGATCAAGGTCCTGTCTAAATAAATAAATAAATAGGTTGGCATTCTTATTTTATATACCAGGTTTTCAAGTTTGGTTAATGTGAGTCTGCCACTAAAAAACAGAATTGTCCTCTGTTGTTGACAAAGTCAATTTTATTGCCTCCGTAGCTGAGAGCCAGACTTAGACCCTCATTTATTCAATGTGGCTGTGAACCATCTTGCGAGACATCTAGACAGTCTTTACTGTTGGCTGCACTGCTTTCGTTTATGAAGTATCCATAAAGATGAAGATTGAGGTGCTATTAAACAAGGAAGTAATTTGTCATTCTTAGCATAGAAGGAGTAATGGAAGAAGCTAATAGAAGAGGTTTTAGAATTTAAAAATATGTTATGAAGCTGTGTTAATTATATGGAAAAATACAGGTAAAAGGCATTTAAAAACTTTAAAGCATTATGTAACTCTTTGCCACCATTAATTAGTGATGCATTTTGAATACCTAATTTAATTAAATGAGTAACACCACAATGTATTTTAATGGCACTGAATTTGACCAGGGTACTATTAATAACAGTGACAGTGATAATCATAACTAACCTTTCTTGTGCTCATACTGTGTCAAACACTGCTGAGTGCTTTAACTCATTTACTATTTAGTGAACCAGTGAGGCAGGTCCTATTGTTAGCTTCAGTTTGTAAATGAGGAAGTGAAGCACAGAGAGGTGAAGTAACTTGCCCAAGACCACACTCCTTAAGTGGTGAATCCAGGATCTGAGCCCAGGCATTCGTCTCCAGAGCCAGAGCTCTTAACCACTAAGTGAAATGATATACTATGCTTATTAATATAATAAAATAAAAGAGAATATTAAAAAATTGGTTGCATCAGTTTTTGAGTTATCTGATTGATGTGGTCCTAATCATTGAGATGTAAATCTTATTCTTGCCACAAAGTAGTAAAACTTTTAGTAAACTTACAAGATATGCGTTTACCTGGGAAAAAGCAACAAGTAACATTCCAGAGTACAAAATAGCTGGTTTAACATACTTCCAGCTGTAGCAATGATGATCAGTATGATGTCAGTAGCAATAAGAAGTATTAATTTTTTAAGTCACATCATTACTTATCATCACTTGGAAACATACCTTTAGAATTGCTACAATTTATCCCTCCCCTATTCATCTGTCATTTTCTCAAGTAATTTTCAGTTTAGGTATATCTCTTCATAACATCAGAGCCCCATCATTTCAAACTTTTTCTTGCAATTCTTTCACTATACAGGACATTAGTATTTTACTCTGCATTTCTCAGAACTCAGGGTTCTCTTTGTGTCAGGTATTGTTCCCGAGAAATAAACTGGAATTGTAGTCTTAAGGCCTGCTCTGTTTTAGAACTTATACATTCAACGAAGATGCTCTTAGCATGTCAGCTTTAATTCCACTAGTACTACAAAGGCTAATCTTGCAGGAGGAGCAAAGGGTTCCATGTTTAAAGGGATAATTTATGGCTGTTCACTCTGTTTTTGGAGATAGTTCAAAATGAAACCCTCTCCTAATGTTGCAAGCAGAAATTGCTTTTTCAGGGAAATTGTTTCAAAAGAGCATGAGTGCCTGCACGTTAAATTATGGTGAGCTTTTTCAAGTTACTGCTGTTGTTGAAAGCCTAAATGGATCTTGACTGTTCAACTTGTAATATTAAATAATCTAATCTTGTGACTCCAAGGCAACCCTTTAATGCTTCTGTGTTTCAGCAACAGTCTTTCCAAGGTCCACTGTCCCTTACACACAATCCTGCTGCTGGTAAAGAATAGTTTGCTTGCCCACTTCATAAAACTATTCACATTTGTAGAGTGCATTTTCTGGAATATTGTTAGTTAAGTAATGGTTGGCTCTATGGTCTTAAATACAAAAGGGCAATGAACAGAGAAACTGTATAGTTTCTGAAAAAAAAAATGGTTAGTTAAATAATGGTTGGCTCAATGGTCTTAAATACAAAGGGATAATGAACAGAAAAACTGTTCAGTTTCTGGAAAATGGTTAGTTAAGTAATGGTTGGCACCATGGTCTTAAATACAAAAGAGCAATGAACAGAGAAATTGTTTTCCCTCCCCTTTATACTGACAATATAAATATTTTTGTCTACCTATTTAAACAAAGCACGTTGTCAGTGAACATAAATGTATGGCATATAGCTCCTCGTTAAAGGACAGAAACATATTATTAAGTAAATGGATATACAGAATAGAGGTCTTAAAGGTAAATAGTACCTTTAAGGTAAACCCACATTTTATTAAAACAAGTGTTTATTTGCAAACCAGGCTATTAAATACTGTGAAAAAATGGAGAAAAAGTAGATTACAAGCTCTTTATGCTCAATGGTTTATAACAATTTCTAACCTAGTTCTCACTGGAATGAACAGTATGTGTAAATTGCTACTTAAGTATAATTACAAGCAACATGTAAAAGACTGCAAATTAATATACTAAGACTTACTGGTAAAGAGAAACAACTAGGGAGTGATCAGGAGGTAGTGTGATTTATTTGGAAAGACATGATTAAGGAGGTGATAGATAGCTGAGAAAATTCCCAGAGAGAAGGGATTTTCAACCTTGATTGCATGTTAGAATCGCCTCAGGAAATTTTTTTTTTTTTTTTTTTTTTTTTTTTTTTTTTTTGAGACGGAGTCTCGCTCTGTCGCCCAGGCTGGAGTGGTGCAGTGGCCGGATCTCAGCTCACTGCAAGCTCCGCCTCCCAGGTTTGCGCCATTCTCCTGCCTCAGCCTCCTGAGTAGCTGGGACTACAGGCGCCCGCCACCTCGCCCGGCTATTTTTTTGTATTTTTTTAGTAGAGACGGGGTTTCACTGTGTTAGCCAGGATGGTCTCGATCTCCTGACCTCGTGATCCGCCCGTCTCGGCCTCCCAAAGTGCTGGGATTACAGGCTTGAGCCACCGCGCCCGGCCAGGAAATTTTTTAAAATACCCAAGTCTGCGCCCATCTCTCAGAAATTTTCATTCAATTGGCAATTTTAAAATCTCTACAGGACAGCCTAAAATTCAGGCAGGATTAAGAACCTCTGACATAATAGGGGGCCGTTGTAGGTGGAAGTATATTGTAAGGTGTGTTATGGAGACATTTACCTGAAATGAAGGGAGTTTGCATTAAATGACCTTTTAGTTGCCACCTTCTTCTAGGAGTCTATGACATTCATATTCAGAGCCATAGGGAGAGTTTCATTGGTTGTGAGTGAGGTTGACAATTGAATTGAATTGGCCATAGCAAAGATGACTCTAGTGGAAAAAAGTAAAAGATGATTCTATAGGAACATGGTAGGTAATCACTTGTAGCACAGCTAGTGCTAAGTGGATGATTGTAGCTCTCAGATCATAGAATTTTAATTGTGGAACGCCCTTTGAAATGGTGCGTTTCAGACTAAATTTCAATGCATCCTTCCCTCCTCAGTATTAGCTGAGAAGTTGATCACTTCTCACACATCTATAGTCAGCAAAACCAGGTTATTCAACCTGTTTGAACATTTTAAATCTACAGGGACAATCAGAAGCCATCATAAACTTTGAAGTTAAAAGATTTGATGTAATTAAAATATTTATAAAAGATTATTTTAGTAGCAATGTGTACAGAGTAATCTGAAAACTTACCAAAGCTGAAGACAGATGGTAAGCTTTAAATAGAATTGGAATCTGTAAAGCTACATTACAATTCCGTAAAAAAATTTGTGTAGAATTGTCAGTTAGTATCAGCAAGTTGGAATCTTAGAGACAGATTAGATAATAGTAAATAGTATCCTTATTTGTAACTATATGTTAATTTAAACATCTAACATGTTTGTAGTTATATCAACTGGTTTAAACAAACAAGTTTGAACAAACAAATTCTATTTTGTAAAAAGTTCTTCATGTATGTAAGCTCTTTAAATAAGTCCATGTCTAATTTAGTAATTTCTTTCTCGTATTTTCTTTTTCAGACTTTTATAGTAATGAATAAAGGAAAGGCAATTTTCCGATTCAGTGCCACCTCTGCCTTGTATATTTTAACTCCACTAAACCCTGTTAGGAAAATTGCTATCAAGATTTTGGTACATTCATATCCTTTTAATGTGAATTGCCTAAATGCTATTTCTAATAGTTGATTTTAAAGAAAATGGCATTTATATTTTTGAGTATTTGTAAAATTTCTTTGAGATTAATGGTAACATTGTTAGTTTAATTCATTTGTTTGCACTGGTTTTCCACTATTTATAACAAGAGTATTATAGAATGACTACAGCATTACAGAAGAAAATGTGTAACCAACCATGACAGTGAATGTGTAAATGAAATATATTATATAGTAGGAAAAAGAGCAAATCTCCTTACACCTTTATCAGCTTCAATGAGATCATGTATAACCATTGCTAAAGATTAGATTATGGTTAGTACTACTATTTGTATTACAAAGTGTTCAAACTTTATGCCTTCATTGTTTCTATATCTTCAGCACCTGGATTTATCCTTCTTTCAGTCCTTCCTTCCTTCTCCCCTTCCTTCATTCTTCCTTTTTCCCTTCCATCTTATTCCCTTCTTTTTTTTCAGTAAATATTTATTAAACTCATACTACGTGCTCATGTACCTGGTTGAGAATATATATCAAAAAGTCGAACTTAAAACTATTTATAATGTTAGTCAAAAAGTATATGTAAAAGGGCAGAATAGGTGTGGATTTCAAGAAAATTCTCAAGTGATGATAAAATAGAATGGTGATTTTCTGAGGCAGTGTTCAAGAATGGGCATTTTGTACAGGCAGATTCAAAGCAGGCTTCTATATAAACTTAAAGACTGATTCACCTAGAGACAGGGCAAATGAGACAGATAACCTTTTGAGGTATGAATTCTCTCATTCTATGGCTTGATGTTGGAAAGTATTTATATTCTAAAATAAAAGATTTATCTCAAAATAATCATAAACTTTCTTACAGGGAAGTCAGGACTTAGAAACCAAGAGAACGTACTACAGCTAATTCTCAGAAGGGCATCAGAATAGTGCTGTCTGTTTAGGTATAATGTGAACTAGACACAGGAGTATAGCCAGGTGCTCTGCTGGGTTCCCCCACAATCTAAAGTATAAACAAAAAGCTAGAAAATAACATTACCTTATCAGGACAAAATTGGATCTCCCTCTTTTGTGCTATAAACCGTAAAGGAGTAAGTTACATCACTACACACCTACTATTTATGGTAGAATTCTCAATCAATGTAATCTTTGATTATACTGGGCTCTACATTCTCACAATTTTTACATTGCATTCGTTAACATTTTATAAGTCAATGGTGATGAATGTATCTGAAGTACATCTTTTACACTTATGGCATACTATAAACTCACTAAGGGATGATGAGTTATTCTTCCAGGGCAATTTCACACAACTGATTGGAATGCAAAATAATTTGCATTTACTTCAAACAGAGATCATTTTTCTATTAAATTCAGTTTTGCGAGTATGTTATATAAAATGAAAAAGAGAGTGCACCAAGGACATATCACAGGCTTTGAAGTGTCTTATTATTTTATAATTGTTTTAAAACAAATAAGTAATATTAATTTCACAGTTTTTGCATTGATAAACTTTTTTGTGTGTTTTGGATCATTTATAAATGGCCATGGTAACCTACTAACATTTATTCCTTAACTATAATCTACTTTATTCAGCATGCTTATCATGTGCACTATTTTGACCAACTGCGTATTTATGACCTTGAGTAACCCTCCTGACTGGACAAAGAATGTAGAGTAAGTAGGAATAACTTATTGGAATGAGAAATGCACACTCAAATTCTCTAGCAGTCTCCTTGTGGGTATAGTCTGACTTATGGTTTCCATTTCTGTCTAAGAAAAAGTTATTTTCATAATATGAAAGAAGATAAGGGAAGTTCTTTGGGGGAGTTATTCTTCTTTGAGGTAAGTATTTTTCCAACAAACTCATGACAATATCTGTTAAAGAGAGGTTATAAATTAGTATACACTTTCTGGTAAACTAAATCAATCATCTAGCCTAAAATTAAGTCTCAATCATTGTTAATCATTTGAGATAAAATACTATGATCATTTGAGTAATTTGATAAATTAAATTATTTTATTCTAGTATGTAGTTATTATTGTTATATTCGAATAGAGTAGAATAGATTTAGGTTTTTAGCTCTAAATTAAGTAGATGTCTTAATTATACATCTAAGATGTCTAAACTATATTTAGATATGTAAGTTATTTATACACAACATGTGTGCTGAAACAGCTTAGATGTGTTTGTAAAAGAAAGAAAATGTCTTCCATAAAACTGTGCTCATAAAATAACAGGGCTTAGGGAAACATGATTGGGGGAGACTAAAACTTATGGAACTTTGTAACTAGAATACAACATAGAAACAATAATAATCCCAATAAAAAGACACTTGCCCAGTTGAGTCTCATCTGATGTTTGTACCTAAAATCAGAGCCATTGAGTTCTTTGCGGTCTCAGATCCTGAGCCTCATCCTTTCTCCCTTGAAATAGAGACTGGGGATATTTGTATGATTTCATCAAAATAAAATGCTTCATTCTGTATTTTCATACATGGAGAAAGTTCTAAGCACATTAATTGTTCAGGATGTTAAACCAGGCCCTTGCTACACTAAAAGAAAACGATTCTGTGGATTTTCTGTATTAGTATCAAGATCTTTTTATTATTATTATTGCAAGGGATTTTCCATTTAAGTGTGAGAAAAAAATGCCCTTCATTGTTTCAAAACATCAGTATGCTGGGAAAAATTGTGCATGAACTAATACAATTTCTGCATCGTAACATTATTTCATTTTCTTATTTTTCAGTCACAGATGAGGTTATTTGCATCAAAGAAACATACTTTCTAGTGAAACAAAGTGGTTGGATTATATAGGCTATTTATATATAGTATAATACAATATTCAGGTATCTGACTGGTTAAGTAAAAATATAATATGTTCTTTTTATTGTCATATTTTTAAAAGCAATGTACAGAGACAAAATAGTGTAACAAATACTGCCGCTTTTAGTTCTGTTTTTTTTTTTTTTTTTTTTTGAGATGGAGTCTCGCTCTGCCGCCCAGGCTGGAGTGCAGTGGCCGGATCTCAGCTCACTGCAAGCTCTGCCTCCCGGGTTCACGCCATTCTCCTGCCTCAGCCTCCCGAGTAGGATGGTCTCGATCTCCTGACCTCGTGATCCGCCCGTCTCGGCCTCCCAAAGTGCTGGGATTACAGGCTTGAGCCACCGCGCCCGGCCTCGTTCTGTTTTTATAGATTTCTCTGAGGATTTACTGTACCACTCTAAACCATTATTTATCAGTAATTTAACATGCTATTTTTTAAAAACAAGTAGCTTGAAAATGCTCCCTCAGAATTATTGTAATAGAGAATCCAGCCCTTATATTGAGGAAGACCATTTAACTTAGAACTCTCATTTGCTATACATGATTTTGGAATTAACAAAATGGACAGTCCTATGTAAGACTATTCTGTAGGTGGTTTTCACAGCAGAAATTATTGAAGCATTTAAACATGTATCAATTTCATTTATTTGTATAACATTATTAAAGGATAGTTGAAGAAGGTAGTTGGAGTTTGTGACCAGCCTGGACAACATGGTGAAACCCCATCTCTACTCAAAATACAAAAAATGAGCCAGACGTGGTGGCACACACCTGTAGTCCCAGTTACTCAGGAGGCTGAGACAGGAGAATCACTTGAACCCAGGAGGTGGAGGTTGCAGTGAGCCAAGATCGCACCACTGCACTCCAGCCTGGATGACAGAGTGAGACTGTGTTTCAAAAAAAAAAAAAGGCAATTGAATATATAGACATCTCTTTCTAAAGAAACAGTAATAACTTAGAGATGATTATACCCATTATGAAGGCAGTCTTAGCTTTAGAAAGTTTTTGATTTGCATCATTCAGCTGGAAAACTTTGCACAGGTTTTCTGATCAATTATCTTCAGTATTTGAAAGCAAGCCAGCAGGAAAACAGCAAAGTAGTAGTGGTTACTGCCCCAAACCCTAGGTTCAGTGAAAAAGAAGATAACTTAGTTCTGAGATGAAAACTGAAGTCACTGATAATTGACACAGTCCCTGTACAAAGATATGGCGTACACAAAATGACTTGAGAACCATATTATATAGTGAGGGGAGTGTTATGTAAGACAAGGCACTTCTATAGACTGCATTTTATTTAATTTCATTTATACTGAATTTTATTTAAATCAATATATCTAAAATATGAAAATTCAACAATTAAAATTAGCCAAATTTCAAGGTTCTAAGACACCAAAGTTACAGCAACAAAAACCTGTGACATAGGCAGAATTGAAGGCTTGATTATGAACCTAGTGTGGGCTTAGCCAAGAAAGATAAAGGTCCCCTGACTCCCACTTACCTGTGCAACCTAGTTACTAATAAGCATTTTTGAATACGTATTCTGTGTAGAACTCTGTCTCAGTAGGATCTAGCACTCTCTTCCATAGACAGCCATGAACACTTCCCATACATTCCAAATGTACCCACATATTTTCTTAATTTTCCAAAATCAAGAACAAAAGTAGGGACTTTAATCTTATTCCTAGTAACTCTATAGATAACAAAGAATTGCCTCAGCATAAACCACAGGGTACTAACCACTAATATAATAAACATAATATACATATGCAGTGTTTCTAGGTCTTTAAAAGGCCAGCTATCTCTACAAACAGAAATATCATGGTGATTATGTGTGTTACACAATGATCCAAACTACAACACAGCAAACATAAGCTTGCTATTGTAAAATATATCTCTTCCAAATAGTCAGCTACTTCATAATAAGTAAAGATAGCAATTATTACTTATGAGATCAATTGAGTTTTGGGGGAGAAGAGGAAGGGAATGTACTTAAGAAAACTAGACTTGGAGATATCTGCATAAATTATCCTTGATATCTTTGTTCCTTCATATGAAAGAAATTTGTACAGAAAACATTTCAAAAATAATGACCCTAATGTTTTTCATATATAAAATACTGGTAGGCTGGAAACTCTAATGAATTTAATATGAGTAAATCAAATCTTTGTGGCTTGGGTGAAGTGCTGTGAAAAATAAACTTAAATTGTGCTTTTAAAGAACACAATGTTGAAAAACAAGTACTCTCAACTATTTTTGGGAAAAAATAGAAAACAGCAATAACTTATATTGTCAAGACTCAAAGAAAAGAGGGCCAGAAATACATGACATTAAACAGCAAATAGAAAAGTCTTCCACCATTTTGGAGGCTGAAAATTGAATTTCAGCAAGGTTTGAATGATTTAGCCCAATTGCATAGAGATAGTAGCTGATGCAAGGTTAGATTTAAGAATTTTGTTTATCCGTATATTTTGGTATTTGCGCAAACACACACATATAGAATACTGGTGAACCGAAACATTTCTTGTGATAATATATACACATACACACATACATATATCTATACAACACACTCATGCGCGTGCACACACACACACCCACACAGGGTGGGAGGGAGGAAGGGAAGGAGAGAGATAAATGGGGGGTAGTTTATAACTCTGCATGATTCTTACAAATTAAAAAAAGAAGTATATTTTCTCTAGTAGACATGTAAAATAGCCCTCAAAATGAGTCTACTCATTAAGAAATTTAAATAAAATATTTTATTATTTAAGTAACTAAATCCAAGCTATGTTGCCTCTAAAGTTGTACTGTCCAATGAGGAAGGCACTAACCACATGTGGCTATGGTACCTTGAAATTTGGCTAATCTTAATTGTTGAATTTTCATATTTTAGATATATTGGTTTAAATAAAATGCAGTATAAAAAATAAGTTTACTTACTTCTTCTCATCTTTTCACTTGCTACTAGGAATTTGAATATTACATTTGTGACTTGCATTACATTTCTATCAGACACTGCTGCACTAGAAGGTGAAACTCGATGATTATCCATAAGATACTTGAAACTATTATTCTAAAACCCAAATAGTTAAACGCAATTAGATTCTTAGAGAATATATTTTCTCTTCAGTTTAACTCTTTGCTCAGACTTGTAAGTCTAATTAAATGAATAGATTATTTGATAAATAGAAGTAAGGAACAATATATTAATGAATTGAAAAACCATGAAAGGATAGGATTTGCTATGATTGAAAACATTTAACAGTTCAAACAAAATTATTAATTTTGGCTTGGATGTTTTTTCTAGGTACACATTCACTGGAATCTATACCTTTGAGTCACTTATAAAAATCTTGGCAAGAGGGTTTTGCTTAGAAGATTTTACGTTTCTTCGTGATCCATGGAACTGGCTGGATTTCAGTGTCATTGTGATGGCGTGAGTAATTTTGAAAATTTGATAAATGCAAAGGAATGAAAATAGTCATAGCACAAACAAGGTTGTGTTATATATTAAATGTAGAGCTTTCTTGTTAGTCAAGTTAATTATATGGATTTGTATTTTAAGAATACATATTAGAATACATATTGCAATGTAAATATATCCAGCAAATGATCAATAAATAGGATTATCTTCATGTCATATAGTCTTTCTCTTCATAAAAATGTATTCATTGACTACAATTTAATAGCAACAACTGTACTTTGATTAGTTTTGCAAACAAATGTGTTCATATTAGTGAAAATTACATTGAAATAAAGCAACACAATTTTGTTTCTTAAAAGCAACTTTCAGCATATGGCACCCTGAGGCCTGTAACAACTCCATTTGTTAAACTCACAGGGCTCTATGTTCCAAACCCAGCATTAAGTCCTTATTTAGTATAAAATTTGCCAAAACTATCAGTAACTCTGATTTAATTCTGCAGGTATGTAACAGAATTTGTAAGCCTAGGCAATGTTTCAGCCCTTCGAACTTTCAGAGTCTTGAGAGCTCTGAAAACTATTTCTGTAATTCCAGGTAAGAAGAAGCTGGTGTAAGGTAGTAGGCCCCTTATATCTCCAACTTTTCTTGTGTGTTATTGTGTTTGTGTGTGAACTCCCCTATTACAGATATGTGACAGAGTTTGTGGACCTGGGCAATGTCTCAGCGTTGAGAACATTCAGAGTTCTCCGAGCATTGAAAACAATTTCAGTCATTCCAGGTGAGAGCTAGGTTAAACACCGAGGCTGACTTTAATTATTAAGTTTGAAATCAATTTATAATGATTTATAGCATTAGCCTTGTTGCTTATTATTATGGTTCATCTCATTCAATAATGCCAATTGATGTTTTGATGTCAGTTTAGCTCCTAAAATTTTATAAATTACATCTTATTTATAAAGTCAGCCTTTGAGTTTAACAGAAAATTGCATGAGATGTCTTCAAAAAATGCTAATTTTGGCCTCTTGCTCTCTCTCTCTCTTTTTCACTACCATGGCTTTACTAACTGATTTGGATTTTACCATTCACTGCAGATGTAGTTCAAAAATGGATCTCCTTTTACAAAGGAGAAAAGATTATTATTGAAGAGCATGCATATGGCATGAGACTTACGTTATCTTAAAAATTCTTTTCTCCTCTAAATTACTACTGCTTGGAAGCTAGAGTAAAGAATGGATTGGTGGAAAATAGCTTCATGAAACACAAAATCTGAAATGAAAAATAACTCCAAGTTTTTTTGTACGTTTGTTGAGCATGTAAAACCACACAAACAAAACTTCCTGACTAGATATTTAAACCTTCATATTGAATTTCCAGCAAGCACACTGTTCATGCATAAAATCTGCTGTTCATCTATTTCCCAAATCATCAGGCTATCCATACAGCTTCGGTGTCTAAATAGTCAAGCAACCATTTATGGGGGAAAGAGAATGCGTGTGACTATTGAGAAATCATGGCTTCTGGCACTCTTCCTCAGGTGACCTGTAGTTCTCTCTCTTCAGGTTTAAAGACCATTGTGGGGGCCCTGATCCAGTCGGTGAAGAAGCTTTCTGACGTCATGATCCTGACTGTGTTCTGTCTGAGCGTGTTTGCTCTCATTGGGCTGCAGCTGTTCATGGGCAACCTGAGGAATAAATGTTTGCAGTGGCCCCCAAGCGATTCTGCTTTTGAAACCAACACCACTTCCTACTTTAATGGCACAATGGATTCAAATAGAACATTTGTTAATGTAACAATGAGCACATTTAACTGGAAGGATTACATTGGAGATGACAGTAAGAAGTATTGCCACATTATATTAACCTTAGTGTTGCTGAATGAGTTTTCAACTATAAATAGTTGAGACTGTGGGTGTACAGCCACCTTTAGTCTGAGATAGTCAAACTCTGATGTATTCCTAATGTGAATAGTATTAATATGAAATAAAATGTTTTTGGTTTTGTGTTAACAGGTCACTTTTATGTTTTGGATGGACAAAAAGACCCTTTACTCTGTGGAAATGGCTCAGATGCAGGGTAAGAAACGTAATATAGTTTTTAAGATACAGAACTGTTTGCGAAAAAAAAAAGTAAGTAGGAAAACATCTACATGGTTATATGTGTAGCCTTACCATGTATATGATAAAGAGTGGTGCTGCCCACCTAGGAAGTGCCTTGTCTGCCTTACTGGATTGCCACTGGTCCAAACTCACAGCCATTAAAAGTCGCCCCTTTGTGAAGACTTTTCCCCAGAATTTCACAGTTAAGATGCTCTTAAACTGATGCTCCAATGTGTGAAGGCCCAGAGTCTGTCTTTGCTGTGCATCCATCAGAGCTGTTACGAAACACAGGAAGGAACACAAGATGGGTCCCTTTTTATTGGTGTACATATGTATCAATGGGATGAGTTTTGTTGTGACTGGAAAAGATCCAGACTATAATGTGGTCTTCAGGGTGCAAGCACACTTGGGGAAGTGCTTTGAAATATTTAGTATTCTTGAAAGAGCATAAATTTCTGTATACGAAGAAGCCAAGGGTGCATGTGTGCCAAAGGCATGTCCAAGTTTGAGTAGACATAATGAATAGTTATTTTAGGCCACATTTTACAATAAGAGATGTTGTAATATCTTAGTCATGCTGTTAGTCTCTACCCCTTAAATATTTTCCTAAGAGTATTGTAAGTTAATTTTAAATCAAAATAGGGAATTTTTTAAGAGCCGAGAGATAGCAATACTAAGTGACTCTTAGGACATGGAACTTAAATATATTTTGAGTCATCCTTTAAAAATGGAAACTGGTGTAGCCATAAAAATCTAAGAGAGTTAATGAAAATATATACAAGTCATATAAATAGAGCTTTGGGGAATATTTTTTTCTTGGCAGTTTTACTAACCTTTATTATGTGAATGTAGTGGGTAAGAGCATAGGTTCTACAGTTCATGTATACCTGGGTTCAAATCCTAACTCCACCATTTGTAAGTTCTTTGACCTTGGAAAAGTGCCCTAAGCACTCTGTACCTTAGTTACTCATTGATAAAATGGAGAGAGTAATATTCTGTCCCTTTAACAGTTGTGATGATTATTATGCAATACACATAAAGTATTTGAACTAGCACATAGCCAATTGTAAGAATTTATTGTATGTACCAGCCTAAGCAACAAAGCAAGACCCTACCTCTACAAAAAAAAAAAAAAGAAAAAAAAAAAAAAAGAAAAGAAGAAGAAAAGAAAAACCTAGCCAGGCATTGTCATGCACACGTGTAGTCCTAACTTCTCAGGGGGCTAAAGTAGGAGGATTGCTTGAGCCCAGGAATTCCAAGCCACTATGAGCTATGATCACGCCACTGCACTCCAGCCTAGGTGACAGGCTGTCTCTGAAAAACGGCCGGGAGCGGTGGCTCACACCTGTAATCCCAGCATTTTGCGAGGCAGAGGCAGGGGGATTACTTGAGGCCAGGAGATCTAGACCAGCCTGGCCAACATGGCAAAAACCTGTCTCTCCTACAAAACACAAAAATTAGATGGGTGTGGTGGTGCACACCTGTAATCTCAGCTACTTTGGAGGATGAGGCAAAATAATCTCTTAAACGTGAAAGATGGAGGTAGCAGTGAGCTGAGATGGCACCACTGCACTCCAGCTTGGATGACAAAGTGAGACCCTGTCTCAAAAAAAATTTTTTTTAATAAATAAAAACAAAATAACACACTCTCTCTCAAAAAAAAAAAAAGAATTTATTGCCTATTGACTATTATTTATGATGATGATGATTAACATAAAAGCCCAGACAAAATTTTGGATAAATTTGGTTAATGCATACTTTATTCCTATTAAACCATAATAATCTATTCCCTTTAATGAATACCTATTATGGCTTAAGTAATTCACATCAGCAGTGCCCAGCCTTTTTGGCACCAGGGACTATTTTGTGGAAGACAATTTTTCCACGGACCAAGGGTGGTGGTGGGGAACGATTTCAGGATGATTCAAGCATGTTACATTTATTGTGTACTTTATTTCTATTATTAGTATATTGTAATATATAATGAAATAATTCTACAACTCACCATAATGTAGAATCAGTGGGAGCCTGATCTCAAATGATTCACCTGCCTCGGCCTCCCGAAGTGCTGGGATTATAGGCATGAGCCACTGCGCCTGGCCATTGGTGATGAGTTTTAAATACAAAATCATTTTGTATTTAAGTGGCACATTCCATTAAAGAAATAAATGATTTGTATTTTATTAAAAGTAAAAGCCTCTGTTCTACAAAGACATTCTTAAGAGAATGAAAAGACAAACCACCAACTGGGAGACAATATTTGCAAAGCACATATCTAATATACAAAAAATGACTGGGGCCAGGTGCAGTAGCTCATGCCTGTAATTCAGCACTTTGGGAAGCTGAGGGGGGAGATCATTTGAGCCCAAGAGTTTGAGACTGGCCTGGGAAGCATAAGGAGTTTCTACAAAAAACAAAAAAATTAGCCAGGCATGGTATAGTGTACCTGTGGTACCAGCTACTCAGGAGGCTGAAGCAGAAGGATTACTTGAGCCTGGGAGGTCGAGGCTGCAGTGAGCCAGGATCAGACCACTGCACTAGAGCCTAGGCAACAGAATTGTACCCTGTCTCAAAACAAAACAAAACAAAACGATGAACCAGTGTCCAGAATATCCAAAGAACTCTTAAAACTCAACAATAAGAAAACAAATGACCCAATTTAAAACTGGCAAAAGATCTGAACAGATACCCTACACAAGTATATAGTACAGGTGGCTATTAAGGAGGTAAAAAGGCGCTCAACATTATTTGTCATTAGAAAATATTGCAAACTAAAACAAAAATGAGTTACCACTGTACATCTGTTAGAATAACTGAAAAATGTATCTGGCGATACCAATGTCTGATGAGGATGCAGAAGAACAGGAACTCTTGCTTATTGCGGATGGGAATGCAAAACTAGACAACCGCCTTGGAAGACAGTTTGGCAGTTTCTTACAAAATAAACATAGTCTTACCATATGATCCAACAGCTGCACTACTAGGTATTTAGCTGACCAATTTGAAAACGTATGTCTTCACAAAAAACCTGCATGTGAATATTTATAGCAGTTGTATTCATAATGACCCCAAACCAGAAGCAACCAAGATGTCCTTCAAGAGTTGTATAGATAAATAAATTGTTGCCGGGCGCGGTGGCTCAAGCCTGTAATCTCAGCACTTTGGGAGGCCGAGGCGGGCGGATCACAAGGTCAGGAGATCGAGACCACAGTGAAACCCCGTCTCTACTAAAAATACAAAAAATTAGCCGGGCGCGGTGGCGGGCGCCTGTAGTCCCAGCTACTCAGGAGGCTGAGGCAGGAGAAATGGCGGGAACCCGGGAGGCGGAGCTTGCAGTGAGCCGAGATCGCGCCACTGCACTCCAGCCTGGGCAACAGCGTGAGACTCCGTCTCAAAAAAAAAAAAAAAAAAAAAAAGATAAATAAATTGTTATACCCATACAATAAAATATTATTTAGTAATTAAAAAGAAATGAGCTATCAAGATACAAACAGGTATTAATGAATGTTAAATGCATATTTCTAAGTGAGAAAAAGCCAATCTGAAAAAGCTACATACTGTATGATTTCAATTATCTGACTTTCTAGAAAACACAAAACAATAGAGATGATAAGAAAATAGTGCTTGCCAGGGGTTCATGGTGAGGAATTATCTAGGTAAAGCAAAGGGGATTTTTTTTAGGGTGAGAACCTGTTCTCTAAGATTCTATAATGGTGAATATGAAACATAATGCATTTGTTAAAACTCATAGACCTTTATAACACAAAGAGTAAATCTTAATGTATACAAATTAAAAGAAATCTTTTGTGAAGTTTGGGGATCCCAGGAAGAAATAGAGTATGTGACAAAAATATATAAATGTATTGCAAAATATGAAACAACCTCACTGAAGGTGGTGGGGTAATAACATGCTAACCTAACTAACTTTGGAAATGAGTGGAGTCTGTAAAACTGAAGGTAAAAGGAACAATACTCTAGTTGATAAAGTTGTTTCCAATGGTAGTATAGATTAACAATCCTGAAACCACTGTGCATGTGTATCAGTATTGAGCAATTATAAACATATATATCTCCTTGTTCTGTCAGCTGAGACGGACTAGAAGCAATGACACCCCAGTAGCAACAAACACAGCTAGCACCCAGATCTTGGTTTCTAATACCATTTTCCAATAAAAAAAAAAAAAAAAAAAAAAAAAAAAAAAAAAAAAAACTAGTGCTCCTTGGAGAAATGGTTGATTCTAGCACTGGGGAAGAAATTATAAAAGATGAGCCTGGAGCATCTGAGAGTGCTTAAAAGTAAGAAAGTGTTAAAAGATAAACAAACAATGCAACCCACAACCATGGGGTATGTCAAACTGTTACAGGTGTCAACTGAAAGAGCTTCCAATGGCCAAAGATGAAGCAATTTGAACAAGTAAATAAATGAAATATCATTGAATTTAATCCAAAATATAAAACGAATCTCCATGACTACATGTTAATTGCAATGATTGAATAATCAAACAAATTATGAATAATGGACAAATATCCTGTGCAGAATAATTTCAAATAATTTTTGTATATACTTAAGATCATAACTGAAGGTTCCCTAAATGTGGTCTGTACACAGTGACTTTATTTCAGAGAGTACATATGGAAAAGGAAGAAAACACTACCTCAAGATAGGTGGTGAAAGTTAACATCAACAGTGATAAGTCATAGTGATAAGTATGTACCCTTGGCATGATGTGATGTGATGATAGTGACGTTTTACCTCTGTAGTCTTCCACCCACAAATCCATAACCTAAATATAATCATGAGACAAACATTAGACAAATCCCTATTGAAGGGCATTCAACAAAGTATCTGACTAGTAATCCTCAAAACTGTTGTGGTCATCAAAAACAAGGGGAGTCTGAGAGATTGTCACAGCCAAGAGGAGCCTTAAAAGACATAACCACTAAATGGAATGTGTATCCTGAATGAGATCCTGGAACGAAAAAAGGACATTAAGAAAAAAACTGAGGGTCGGGCGCGGCGGCTCATGCCTGTAATCCCAGCACTTTGGGAGGCCAAGGCGGTTGGTCACGAGGTCAGGAGATTGAGACCATCCTGGCTAACACTGTGAAACCCCGTCTCTATTAAAAATGCAAAAATTAGCCGCGCATGGTGGCGGGTGCCGGTACTCCCAGCTACTCGGGAGGCTGAGGCAGGAGAAAGGCGTGAACCCAGGAGGCGGAGCTTGCAGTGAGCCGAGATCATGCCCCTACACTCCAGCCTGGGTGACAGAGAGAGACTCCGTCTCAAAAAAAAAAAAAAAGAAAAGAAAAGAAAAGAAAAGAAAAAAACTGAGGAAATCTGAATAAAATAGTAACTTTAGGTAATTATAATGTATTAAGGCTGAGTGCAGTGGCTCGCACCTGTAATCCCAGTACTTCAGGAGGCCAAGGTGGGAGACTGCTTGAGCCCAGAAGTTTGAGACCAGCCTGGGCAGCATAGCAAGATCCCATCTCAATTAAATAATAACAATGTATCAATATTGAAAATGGCATGGAATGTATGAGGCCTGTACTATCTTCATACTTTTTCTGTAAATACAAAATTGTTATAAATATTAACTTTATTTTAGAAAATTCTATAAAACCAGCTATTGAAATGGTTGATTCCCCACTCTTTGGCTTTTTTCTGGCTTTTAATTTTTAACTATTGTTTCTTGCCACTTTGTAAAAAGTAGAAATATGGTGATGTCAGAGCCAAAAGTGTGTGGTTGCTAGCTCTCTGCCATTCTGAATGTCTGTAAATATTTCTTTGCATCTAAATTTTCTATTGGTCTTCCTAGTGAATGTCGTCTGGTAAGTTTCATGATGAGCAATCACCTAAAGTGTTCTGGAAATGAAAGCAAGATAATTCGTCACAGATAGCAACTTTGGGTTTTGAAAATTCCTATGAGTCAAATCAATTGAAATTGCTGTAATTTCTATACTGACCCTACCTCCATTTATCTCTCTTATAGCCAGTGTCCAGAAGGATATATCTGCGTGAAGGCTGGTCGAAACCCCAACTATGGCTACACAAGCTTTGACACCTTTAGCTGGGCTTTCCTGTCTCTATTTCGACTCATGACTCAAGACTACTGGGAGAATCTTTACCAGTTGGTAATGTCCAAATGAGCATACATAACATTTACTTTTATAGACATATATGAAATGAAAAGCATAGGCTGGGTGTGGTGGCTCATGCCTGTAATCCCAGCACTTTGGGAGGTAGAGGCGGATGGATCACTTGAGTCCAGGAATTTAAGACCAGCCTGAACAACATGGCAAAACCCCATCTCTACCAAAATACAAAAATTAGCCCGGCATGGTGGTGCGCACCTGTAGTCCCAGCGACATGGGAGGCTGAGGTGGGAAGATCACCCAGGCCCAGGAGGTGGAGGTTGCAATGAGTCGAGATCATATCACTGCACTCCAGCCTGGATGACAGAGTAAGACCCCATCTCAAAAAAAGAAAAGGAAAGGGAAAGGGAAAGGAAAGGGACCTGCTTATAACACCCTGGAATACAGAGAAGGGTCCAGTATAAAGCAAGTGTGCCTGGAATCCTAATTGCTCATTGAGTCAGTACCTATATATGTACACTGAGAACTTTTTTCATGTGAAAGGCATTCTGCTAGGAACTATGGGGATGCAAATAATGTTCATGACTCTGAGGAACTGATAATCCAGTTGTGGGTATATAAACAACACGTTAAAATATTCTTAAAATCAATGATGTTGATGTGAAAATTTCAAATGAAAGCTCTAGCTATTAACTGAGACTAGAAGAGGAGAGGAGCAAAAGTCATCTATCGATAGTATGGAGAACAGACTGCAATGCAAATGGAATCCCAAAGAAAGGATTTAAAGGTTCAGTGCTCTCACTTGTCATATTATTGCTCTGCATATGAACTCTAATAAAAGCATTATAGTGGGGTTCACATATATATCCACTATATATGAATTTAAAATGTATTTATATCAAACGAGACTGCAGTCAAGCCTCAAATAATCTGATTCTTAATTTTGTGTGTTGAGCATACCAATACCAAAAAACTCTTGGTGAAAAGAAACTGGATACTAAAAAGCGAATTAGTCTGCTGACTATCTAACTGTGGTCACCAGATATTTATTTGGGGACATTATACTAAAATACTGATGGAATTATCTCCCATTTCTCCTAGACATTACGTGCTGCTGGGAAAACATACATGATATTTTTTGTCCTCGTCATTTTCTTGGGCTCATTTTATTTGGTGAATTTGATCCTGGCTGTGGTGGCCATGGCCTATGAGGAACAGAATCAGGCCACATTGGAAGAAGCAGAACAAAAAGAGGCTGAATTTCAGCAGATGCTCGAACAGCTTAAAAAGCAACAGGAAGAAGCTCAGGTACTGAGTGATAAAAGCAAAGATTTATCATTATTATTATTATTAGTTTCTAAGTAGAAATAGTGTTATACTCTAGAGGGTAGATTCGTACTGCCTTTTCATTTCATATACAGGCGTTGTCATTAGAAAAAGAAAAATATTCACATATGGACTTGTTTCTGAAGTTAGAGTTGAATAAACTTTTTAGACACTGTATATAAAGAAATCAGCCAGTGGGTAGAAAATACATTAGGGATAAGGTTTACTATGGAATTGTCTCATGGAACCTAAGAGGGGAATTTAATTTTTTATTTAATTTTGAAAAGAAATAAAACTGATATTTCCAATTATTAGTGATTCACCCCTAATTATGACATTTGAGATTTTGTTCTGAAGTTAATTGATTTTAAAGGTTGACAAGAAAACTTTATATATACCTATGATTAACAATTCTTTGGGATTTCTGTAACAAAAAATTTTAAAAAGGTGTTTGCTATAGCCCACATCAGGATATCAGGAAGGTGTCTAAAATTAGATGCCAACTTGAGACTTTTATCAATATTAAAGTCTGTGTGAGCTAGGGGTATAGTGAATGGGGTATTAATGTGTTGAGGAGAAGAGATGGAAACACAGTACTGTATTAAAAGACAGAAAAAAAAATCCATATACTGAAAGGTGAAGACTCTTGCAAAGATATAGTAAAAACCCTATTCATGCCAGTTAGAATTATAATTTCTCAATATTTTTTCCAACATTTGCTATGGCCAGTCTTTGTAATTTTAGCCATTCTAATAAGTATCTCATTGCTGTTTTGATTTTCATTTTCCTAATTACTAATGATAAGCATCTTTTTCTGCTCTTATTTTCCATCTGTATAGCTTCTTTTATGAAGCGGTTGTTCAAATCTTTAATCCCCTCCTTTTTTTAGTTAGGTTGTTTGATTTCATATTGTTGAGTTTTGAGTGTTCTTTGACTCTTTGGGATATAAGTCCTTTCACATATATGCTTCTCAAATATTTAAAGTGCAGTTTATCCAGCATACTATTTCTTAGCTTTTTTGTTTAAATCATTCTTTTGGATCGAAGAAACTTTTGCCAAGTCAACACCACAAGTATTTTCTTCTAAATTTTCTTCTAAAGTTATGTTTATGCTTTAAATTTAGGTCAATAACCCATTTTAAATTAACTTTTGTATAACATATGGGTGATATGTTGAGATTGACTTTTTAAAAATATGAGTATCTAATTATTCCAACTGCATATAAACAAAGCATTCATTCTCCACTGCATTGCCTTTGAACTTCTGTCAATTATTAGTTGTCCATAGGTGAGTGTGTCTATTTCTGAACTCTATTCTGTTCAGTTGATTTGTCATTTTTATACCAACACCACACTCTCGTAATTACTGTACCTTTTATGATGAGCCTTGAAATAAGATAGTGTAGGTCCCCAACTTTTTGTTCTTTTTTTTTTTTCAAAGCTGTTTTTTGGCTGTTTTATGTCCTTTGTAGTTCTCTATGAGTTTTAAACCCCATTTGTCAATTGCAATTTTAATGATTTCTATTGTTGTCTTCAAGTCAATTATCTTTTCTTTTGCACATTTAATCTGCCGCTAATTTTATCCAGTATATTTGTCATCTGAAACATTGTAGTTTTCATCTCTACAAGCTTGATCTGGGTCTTTTTTATATTTCATATATCTCTAATTAATATTGTGAGCATACACAATACAGTTACAACAACTGTTGAAGTTTCCTGTCTGCTAATTTGAACATCTGTGTCAGTTCTTGGTCAGTTTTGATTAATTTTTCTCTTTATTATGGGTCATATATTTCTGCAGTTTTCTGTTTCTGACAATCTTCAATTGAATTCCAGACACTGTCAATCTTGGATATAGTTACGTCGTTTATGCACAGTTTGATCCTTTTGTATCTTTAAACCTTTGAAAATAGACAGGACCAGAATACTATTTATTCTCAGACTAATTATTCCTCACTAATGAATCAAGACGCTTCCTAATACTCTACCCAATGCCCATTTAAAACGAAGTGTTTGCCAGTATAGGAACAGACACAGTTCTGGCACAGTGTGATTGCTGGGTGGTGTTCCCTCTAATCCTCGGCCTCAGGTAGTTTTCTAAGACACATGCTTGGTGAATAATCTTCTCAGTACTCAAGGTGAACCTGAGATTCCCTAGAATTCTCTCTCTGCTCAACTGTCGCCTCTGTGGTACCCTGTTCTGTGAACTATATAGCCACCCTGACTTTCCTAGATTCAGCTTCATCTCATCCATTCATGGAGTCTGCAGAGATACTTCCTCTCTACATCATAGTCTGGAAGTTCCAGACCATAAGCTAAGAAAAGCATAGAGCTGGCTTGCTTGCTTTTCCGTTTTCCAATATCTTAAAACATTCTGATCTGATGTCCAGTGTCTTCAAAACCACTGTAACATGTATTTTGTCTGTTTTATTGGTTGCTTCAGAAGAGAGTAAATCTGGTCTCTGTTACTCCATTTTGGCCAGAAGCAGAAATCCAATTTTGTTTTCATGCACTGACTTTTTTGAGGATTTTTTTTTTTTTTCAGATGAATGGCTCCACATATTTGAAGTGTTCTTTGGATGACAGTATATAGTAGAAATTGGTATATTCAAAATTTAAGTTTTTAACAATTCTGAGTTACTTTGAAGATACACAACAAATAGCGTTAGGTCCTTTCTCAAGGCATTTTTTTGGTGAAATGGAGATACAGCAATGAATCGTTTAGTGAATTACTGAGCTCAACCATAGACTTAGCTTTGGGTGAACATGCTGGCTTGGCCACTTTCATCTTACCATTGGGTACAAAGTAGTAATGTGGATATACCTTATTGATTTTATATAGAAAACTCTAAACAAATTTGGTGAAACTTGAAAATATTTAAAAATATACTTCATGCTTGCCAGAAAGTTCTACATTTGAATTATTGAAGAGTTTTATTCTATATCACTATAAATAAAACACATTTATAAGATAATAAAATAAAATAGCTATTTACAGGGCAAATACTTTATTTCATGGTTTTAAATAAATGTTATAGGAAATAATATTCATAAATTGCTTATGATTGTATTCTAAAGCACTGGGTTTTTCTATTATCATTAATAAAAGCAGACAAATTAATGTGCTTGAAAATGCTACACAGATAATACAGTACGGAAATGAGTTATTCTAAAATTCAGCCATTTTAGGGTAAAATATGGCATCAATTAAAAGAGTATAGTCTTTTTGAACTTAGAAATAAACATGCGCTATGTCTAGTAGAAGTTTCAAGAACCTATGATTATGATGAGTTCAGCTAAAAAACATCAGTTCTATTAACCCTAGTAGTCAGTTACTGAATTTTAGTGACAAAAACATCACAATTTGATTCAGCTATAGCTTCATACCTACAAAATTTAAATTTATCCAAGGTAAAGTATAGTACTGATTGGAGTAGCACAGTGCCAAATCCATTTTGGTTCCTTATTGACAACACAGGTAATGATGACCAGTAAATTATCAATGTTGAACCCGGGAGGAAATTGTAGGCAAAGAGAGAGAATTAGTGCACCTATGAGATCATTTATGCTGCAGTGTAGCTTAAGTCTCACTAACCACCTATGAGTCTTCAAAACTTACTATCTAGCCAATGACTTCATGAAGGCTAACATCACTTCCATCTTTCTTTATTATTGGTTGAGGGGCACCTAGGGCTAGTCATTGTGTAGGCATGAGAAAATAACGTGGAGAAACACAAACCCTGCAAAGAAATCAATGTTTTGTCCTAGTTCATTCTAACTGTGTTTGGCATTTAAATTGTGATATTTAAGTGTCTAATGTTGCCCAGCTTGGTATATCCCATAGCAGTCTATATATAGGAAAAAATTTGGGAGTAAGCTCTAGAACAAAATTCAAAATATTAGCTCTTAAGAAATCTAATATAATTGGAGTAGAACAGAAATAGGTATAATGTCTTGTAGCTTTGAATGGGATTTTAACTGGATTACATGTGTAAAATGAATGAAGTATTAGTTATGTGGTTATATTTTTATGGACACACAGATACAGTGAGTCACAGAGCCTATTTTGAATCACACAAAAATGTTATAAGAAAATGTTATTTCCTGAGTAAATACTAAGTGAAATTTCTTATTTGTTAAAAGAGGAATTCAGTAAGTTGGCTGTGAAAGTAACACTATTATTCTAATACGCAGGACATTGGTAGAATCACAGAGTTGGGTATAAACAGGTACACAGACATGAGAGATGACAGGAAACATCTGCCTTTGAGGGAATTGGCAAATCACTGAAGTGGAACAAGTGACAAATTTGAGTTGATGAGTGACACAGAAAATGTGTCAGAGGTTACCTTTGTTGCCTTAGAAATCTGTTTTGGTTTTGAAATATTTGAACTGTTACCCAGAATACATAGGGAAATAACATCTTATGCAAAACAAAGTTTGGGGCCAGGTGCGGTGGCTCACACCTGTAATCCCAGCACTTTGGGAGGCTGAGGTGGGTGGGTCACTTGAGGCCAGGAGTTTGAGATCAGCCTGGCCAACATGGTGAAACCCTGTCTCTACTAAAAATACAAAAATTAGCCAGGCATGGTGGCTCATGCCTGTAATCCTAGCTGTTCAGGAGGCTGTGGCAGGAGAATTGCTTGAACCCAAGAGATGGAGGTTGCAGTGAGCCAAGATTGCGCCATTGCACTTCAGCCTGGGCAACACAGTGAGACCCCATCTAAAAAAAAAAAAAAAATATATATATATATATATATATATATATGGAAGTGATTTAAATGAATGTAAGTTTTAGGATTATGGTGAGGGACTATGACCACCACTTCTTTTGTTTCCAGGGACAAACAAGTCAATAAATGATTAACACTGCGTGTTGTGTGTTTGTGTCTATATAAAATGGAAAAGAGAATTAAGGACTTTATTTGGATAAGAAGGGGTATGTGTGTATATATATATTCACTGTTTCAGCAAATGGTGTATATTAGGTACATCATATGTATCAATCACTATGTAACTATATTTAACTTGCTACAGATAAGTGATTCATTTATTTACTTTATTTTGCATATATAGTCAGAGTTATAAAATGTACTTAATATTTCTCATTTTATGTCATGAATTATATTAAAAGTGATACTGATGATCAATAATTTGATTAAAAACCTGGCTATGTGACTATATAAAATTTTATAAATATCTAAATTCTGAATTAGTGTTTCATTTAAATACTGGGCATTATCTTATATCAAGTCTTATATCTGAGTTTCCATTATGAATATAGTGCTTAATATAAATAAATATCTGTTACATTTTGTGTGTTGCTTGGTCAAACACATAAATTTAAAATCATGTTTAGTACTAAGTTTTCCTCCCTGAGATCATTGTAATCCTAGAGAATTTGCAGCATAGTAATTTTAGATTTAAAATCTTTTTTTAAATTTTAGTTAACATAAAGTTTAAAACTGAAAACTACTTAGCAGGGTTTGCTTCTTCTTAAGAAAGATGAAACATAAAGCACAAAGTGATGTCACAGTATTATAAATAGGTTTTATCTCCATTTCTTCTTAAAATATGTTGTTATACAGACTGTTATGCCAGTCTTTTATGATGTCTTGAAAAGTCAAGGCTAAGTATGTCTTGTTCTTCCCCCACCCCCACACCAGTGTCTGAGAAAATTGATAGCAAAATACATTTTTAAATCTTTATTCACCAATTATTTACTGAGCCCTATTTATGTCAGGTGACATACCAGTCGCTGAGCATACAGTGATACAATTTCTATCCAGCTTATAGTTGGTGGGAAAGATAAACAATATAGTAGATAAGTTAGAGTTGTTTGTATTTAGTGATGACATATGTAAAAAGCTTAACTGATATTGTCATAATTTAATAGTTTCCACTTCTGTGGTTACATTTTCAAATAGTTATATGCTTAATGAGAACTCAGCTTTGATGCTCACCATATTGTTTCATATCCTCTGTATGTCACTGTTAGATCATTTCCAGTCTAAAAATACTATTTTCTATGTTTCACCTCAGAGCTGACTGTGTTTCATTAGTAGGTATAGAAATTCAAAGTGCTTAAGAATACTTAGTGCTGCAATATGGAAAGAAAATATTTGAAGCAGTTCTCATAATCCTTTGAATGAATTTGTGTGTTGCTATGTTAATCATTTGTTATTATTTTTAATATTAAACGATTTATTAACATTTAAAATTTTTAAAGTGATACATAATAAATTTTCTGGGAGTAAGATGACCACAGAGATGTGAACTACAGTCCTAAATGTAATTCAAACGAAGGAAGAGGATAAACTAGCTAATACATTCCCCTACTTCCATCTGGAGGTAAAATAGTAGGCACTTTAAATGTTTTGCGTTCACAAAAAAGAAAAGAAACAGTCTTTTGTACTGGATATAGAGGGGGAAAAAATTACTACTCAGTTGCTCACAAGTGCACACAGGAGGAAACATTTTACAGATGGAATCAGAATAGTAGTTAAATGAGCAACCACCACTAAGAAAACATTTGCTTTTTAAAGTATAGAAGATACTATAGAGAGAACAGTTGTCCCCTCCGCCCCCAAAAAAAGACAATCCAGAAGATAGGCAAAACCATATTTTTCTTGCTTTAATACATACACTAGCATATTGCTTTATATGATTTCAAATGTAAGGGTTGTTGTTAAGTAAACTCTTGTGGTGAGACAAAACAAAAGGACTAGAAGAACAGACTTTTCGCTTATAGTTAATGAGTCTTAAACGGCAACATTTTAACCATACTCCACTGTTTTCAAAGCTCTGTGTTCTAAATAGTGCCTGACTTTGTTTTACGACAGGCAGTTGCGGCAGCATCCGCTGCTTCAAGAGATTTCAGTGGAATCGGTGGGTTAGGAGAGTTGTTGGAAAGTTCCTCAGAAGCATCAAAGTTAAGCTCCAAAAGTGCTAAGGAATGGAGGAACCGAAGGAAGAAAAGAAGACAGAGGGAGCACCATGGAGGAAACAATAAAGGAGAGAAAGACAGCTTTCCGAAATCCGAATCTGAAGACAGTGTCAAAAGAAGCAGCTTCCTTTTCTCCATGGACGGAAACAGACTGACCAGTGACAAGAAATTCTGCTCCCCTCATCAGGTAGGATTTTCTACTAAGTGCTCTGGTTTCTTTGTCATTGCGATTGCTTTTTACTTGTTGTATTTTGTTTTAGTACACTTTTGTGCTATCTGACTTCAGTGAGGGATGGGGAACTAACATTTAATATAGTTGTTTAAATTCTTATCATAGACTGTCTTCAAAGGGATTTTTATTAAACCGTTCATAAAATGTTCACCATTTTGGGACTGATATATATAGATATATTGATATCATATATATAATATATATATTGATATAACCTATATATATCAACCTGTGTGTGTGTATATATACATATATATGTGTGTATGTACACACACAACCTACGCTAACAGACTTTTCAGTGAGAGTTTGGGAATCTCTTGTTTACATTTTCCACTTTGAGACCCCAGATAAACTTATTTTCTTCGAGAATGAGTTTCTGCCTTTGGTATCCAAAGTTGTTATTGTAACACACACATAAATTTTGAAAAGAAATGTTCTTTGGGTTTTATCTTTATCCTTTGATATGAGAACTGGACTATGGTGAGTCTCTATTTTGCTTGCATAGGGTCATGCCATGGTACATTAGAATGAAATTATGACCTAAATGTTCTTGAAGAGAATAGCATCAAAGGTAGTCTATTTTGTGCTCTGATTTAATGCCAACTACCTAGTTCTTCATCATAGTTTTAAGTAAAAGAGTAAAAATTAGTTTCAATTATTTGTTGTTTAGTAAGTTTTATGGATTAGTAAGTTAATATATTGTTTACATATGTCTGGTGTAAAGAATAATTAGTTATAAAATCTGTGATAAGTACAATTATGGCTTTGAACACTATTTGGCACCATTAGAATTTCATGTGCTATGAATTGCAAATGCTTCTAATCATAACAATCTTGAATCAGAATTATACCCTAAAAATAATGCTTCGAGAGATAATATATAAGATTAATTTAATTAAAAACTGCAAATCAACCAAGAGGTATGATATATTTTTCATAAAGAAAGAAACTTCTGGCCGGGCGCGGTGGCTCAAGCCTGTAATCCCAGCACTTTGGGAGGCCGAGACGGGCGGATCACGAGGTCAGGAGATCGAGACCATCCTGGCTAACACGGTGAAACCCCGTCTCTACTAAAAATACAAGAAAATTAGCCGGGCGAGGTGGCGGGCGCTTGTAGTCCCAGCTACTCGGGAGGCTGAGGCAGGAGAATGGCGTGAACCCGGGGGGGCGGAGCTTGCAGTGAGCCGAGATCGGGCCACTGCACTCCAACCTGGGGCACAGAGCAAGACTCCGTCTCAAAAAAAAAAAAAAAAAAAACAGAAAGAAACTTCTAAAAAAACAGAAGTAATAAACACAAAATTCAACATAGTATTTACTTTTGGTTGGGAGAAAAGGTAATATGCAAGTTCTCAGTGAATTTTTATAATCTAAGTTTAATATGTAAACAAATATTTTTAAAGAAAAAAGTAGACTATATCAATAACTTAAAACTTGTATTCTCATATTAGAACAAAATGGACATGAATACACAAAGAGTTTTAAGATAAAAGCCATTTAAGACAATATCAATATCAAGAAATTCAACTATTACTGTCTTGTGTAATACAAATATAAAATATATTATCAAATCAGTATAACACATTTGGAATTAACTTGAAGCTCTGGAGGGCAACTTGGTTTCTCAGATCAGATTTTTTTTTTCTTAAACAGTCACCCTTGATATTTTGGAATTCTTAAAACTATTAGGAGTTATTAGAATTAAGAGTATATGAAACTATAGCATAATGATGCTATAGTGAACACAAATGTTCGTGTTCATATCTCAACGCCAAACTAGTTCTGTGACCTTGGTCAGGTCAGTTGTACTTTGTAAAATTTCTGTAAAATAAAGTAAGAACACCTACATTAAAGAGTTTTACGGGACTAAGCAATATATCGAAAATCTGTGTGACAAAGAATAAGTCTCTTATTAAGTTAAAATTGATGAATGAATTTCAAATGAGGGAAACAAAACTTTTGAGTAGTTTTAATTACTCACAAATGTATGTACGCAGTTTGATAGCAGTATTATTTCCTTTATCGTTTCATCATTTTGCTCAAATAAAAGTTTGCAGATTAGTTCATTCAGTCCAATCAACAAATATTCATTGATCACCAACTATGTGGCAAGCATAATTCAAGATGCTGAAAATACCTCAAAGAACAAATGAGATTCAATTCACTGACCTCATGGAAATTTATTCCCAAGGAGACGGACAATAAACAACATAAATAAGTTATAGACTGCGTTAGAAGGTAACAAATGTTACGGAAAAAAAAGTAAGGAGGAAAAAAGGAACACGAGCCATAATTGGAAGAAAAATTTTAAATAGGGTGGTTTACAATGACCTCACTACTTAGACATTTTGGGAAAGATTTGGAGGAGGCAAAGGAAGAGGCTATCTTATGGAACAGCGTTCTAAGCTGATGATAGAGGAAGTGCAAAACCCTGACATGGTAGCGTGCCTGGAGTGCTTTAGGAGCAACTGGTAGACTTGGTTTGCCGGAGCTGAGGAAACCCCAGACAGGCAAGAGCAGGGAGGTTAGCTGATGGCCAATGTTTTAATACTAAAAACAGAAACAGTACATACATATGGTAGATGTCGTTCATTTTATATTTGTAAATAGAAGACAGATGGATAGATAGGTAATTTCAAAAGTGAAAGAAATAATCTATTAGTTTTAAATTTGCATCTCCCAGTAAAGACAGGCTAAGAGCATTAACACAACTAACAAGCAGAAATATACCATAAACGGTTTACAGTTTCTGATTCTGTAAACAGAAAAGGAATCTGGTAGAAAGAGAATCAGGGAAGGTGGTGGGGACAGGAAACATAAGATAGACAGTAAATACTGCTCAAATCAAATATATCTTCTGAAAATGTCAAAGCAGAGAGGCCATAAATTGTGGACACCCTGTCTTCTATTCACATAAATTACAAATGTTATTTTGTTTATTACATTATTTTATTTTTAAGCAGATTATATATGTTAGTAGTACAAAATAAAGAAGTATTTAAAAGTATAAAATGAAACCTCAAAATGCTAAGTACTTCCAACAAATACTCACTTTCCTTGTTCCCACTAGAACATCTTAAAATTCCCAGCATCTTTTTCCATCTTGACTTTTCCCAACCCACTTTGAATCCAAAGCCTACCTGCATGCTTGTGTCTTACAGACCTAATTTCTTCTATTTCCCCTTTTGTTACTGAAAATTAAGAAACAGTCTACATTTATCTTCTGGGAACAAGATGAAAAAGATACCTGGGAAATATGTTTTGACATGCCTGAGGCAAAGAAAGATAGCCTTTCACTCCTTAAAACATTAAAGCTGGTTTTCCCTAGAGAAAGTGTTGCCACATCTGTGGGTATTCCCTCCACTCTGCTGCATCTTCCAGTGTGTTATTTTTGGTTTATTTTCTCTGAATGCTATTTCTGTTATCTTCTTTTTCTGTCTCTGTTGCCTTGAAAGCTGCGCTCACACCCATTATTATACATTCCAAAGAGTGAATAGAAGTTTCGAATAAACTCAGAGATCTGGAACGCCTTTGAAAATACCTGACATAAAAATATCCAAATTAAAGGCATGTCCCAGATACATAATGGATGCACACACATACCACATACTCCCAACCAATACTGTGTAGGCCAATTTTCAGTTTTCAGAGACAGTTTCAGAACACAGGTGTATTGAGGTGATTACACTCAGCCATCCTAGGGACTAATGTAAGTCCAACTTAGTATTTCTCTGAGTGTAGGATGAGGTCCACCCTGTATTACAGTCACCTGGAATGTGTCAAGAAAATTCAGATTCCAGAGTCCCATCTGCTACTTGCTGAATCCATATTCCAAAAATCTGGGACCTAAAAATATATATTTTTAACTCTCAGAGTGATTCACATACACGCAAATGTTTCAAAACACTAATTCTGGGCTGGGTGTGGTGGCTCATGCCTCTAATCTCAGGGCTTTAGAAGGCCAGGGTGGGCAGATCACCTGAGGTCGGGAGTTCGAGGCCAACTTGACCATCATGGTGAAACCCTGTCTCTATTAAAAATACAAAAATTAGCCAGGTGTGGTGGCAGGCACCTCTAGTCCCAACAACTCAGGAGGGTAAGGCAGGAGAATAGCTTGAACCTGAGAGGTGGAGATTGCAGTGAGCCGAGATTACACCACTGTACTTCAGCCTGGGCGACAGAGCGAGACTCTGCCTCAAAACAACGACAACAACAACAATAAAAACACGAGTTCTGGATATAACTGTTATTATATTGATCATTTAAATGGAATCTGAGGAAATGAAAAGCATTAGCATTCTTTATTAATGGGGGGATGAATTGATGTCTTCACATGATCTAATCTCTTGATCACTTTGCTGTAAAATCCCTCTACTGTCTGCCCTTCGGTAGACAAACCTGCTACAGGAATTAAGTATTACATAGACACACCCTCCGATGGACAAGCTGGACAGCCAACAGTTCCTGTGGAGAATCTAACCAAATCCAAAGGAACAGAGCACTTTTTAGTGAATAATATCCTTCCAGAATATCACTGAGACAGAGGACAACAAAGATTATTCTGGTGCTTTGCAGTCTGGGAAAAGCCATAAAAATAAAGCTAAAAATGGGGCCTACGAAAATCAGCATGACCTAATTAGGCAGAGGAACCAAAAATAAGTTTGACAGAGTCTGCCTTTTCTGTTTTTTCCACTAAAATCATTTTATTTGGTTTTACACTAAAGCTTAGAAGAGAGAGAAGATCCAGGAATGTTTGCTGCTGACATATGTATATGTATATGTATGTATGTATATTACCCTGGGTGTGAAGAGAAGTAGGAAAGGGAATGAGAGAGCGAGGAGGAATGCCATTGTTCATGATGAGGGGAGAAAACAAATATTCTGCAGACTGAATAGAGATGTTTTTGAAAACTATCTGCAAGACTAGAATACACACAGAATAATTTGGGGTTGCTAGTTTAAAATCCTTTCAAAATGTGCTAGAGGGAACTTCAAGCTAAATCCTCATTTTCTGGTACTAGGAAACAGTTCGCTTAACTTACTTGGGAATAGCTGTAATAAAAAACGTTTTGAATTGTCTCTTTTCAATACAGTTAAAGTAAAATCAGAAGTATATGCTGTATTTTACACCACCCGCTGGTGAAGTCATGTTATATGTCTTGCTTTTATAAGCCAGTGTTATATTTTACACAAGAAAAGTAATTTATGTAGCAGTTTAGGAATCCTCTCTGTTGCGTTTGCTATGACATGTAGTCTCTCAAATAAGGTGAATCATTGGTTGCCATTTGGGAAACTGTTAGCAAATTTGGAAGACAACATCGTAGGTAAGTTTTGTGACTTCTATTCCCATGTGGGTAGAGACAAACCATTTCAGACAAAGAGTAAACTAATTTTCTTTCAGAATTCAAAAGAAGGGAATGGAAAAATAGTAGTTTTTTTTTTAAAAAAAATAATTATCCTGAAGTGAAATACTGGCTACAATGCAACATTTGAAACAAATATTTTAAATTTGAGCCAACATTCTCACTTGAGCCAAAACTTATTCTCCAGGTTGCATTCCCTTCAGATTACAGCATTAAGAAGTAGAAGCTACTTACTATTTGTTTAACCACCACTCCCATCAAAAGTTATCATTTAGCCTTTTCAGCATCTGGTCCCTAACCTATAGCATTATGATAACCCAATCCACCTAAAGTGAAGACTAAATGAAGTGGTTGCATACTTAGTAAATTGCGAATCAGTATTGTTAGTCAGAAAAACACTCTTTTACTTAAATTTGCTTTAATAAAAGTATTAAAATATATGTGTCCTCTATAAATTTGATAATCCATGTTTAAGAGCAAGACTATACTAACTCAAAAGAAAATAGATCTTTTAATATTAATACTTTTATTTTTATTAAATAATTGTGTTCTCCCCCCACCCCATCCCATTCCTTTTTGCTTTCTCCGCAGTCTCTGTTGAGTATCCGTGGCTCCCTGTTTTCCCCAAGACGCAATAGCAAAACAAGCATTTTCAGTTTCAGAGGTCGGGCAAAGGATGTTGGATCTGAAAATGACTTTGCTGATGACGAACACAGCACATTTGAAGACAGCGAAAGCAGGAGAGACTCACTGTTTGTGCCGCACAGACATGGAGAGCGACGCAACAGTAACGTTAGTCAGGCCAGTATGTCATCCAGGATGGTGCCAGGGCTTCCAGCAAATGGGAAGATGCACAGCACTGTGGATTGCAATGGTGTGGTTTCCTTGGTGGGTGGACCTTCAGCTCTAACGTCACCTACTGGACAACTTCTCCCAGAGGTGATAATAGATGACCTAGCTGCCACTGACATTATTCACTAATTTGAAATAATCAAAGCCTGGACAGTTTAGGCTGTTATACCGTCCTGCTTCCTCAAAATGAAAAGTTGGTAAAAATAATACATGATTAATCAAAGGGAAAACAATAGAATATTGAGAATCAATTGAATTGTACGGGAGCATTAGCTTTTGTTGTATGGGAATTCATTGTAAGGGACCATGGCTTTAGGTTAAAAGGGCCCAGTTTTTAGAGTCTGCTTTGAAACACATATCTGCAAATTTGGTAGACCTACCAAGACAAATAATGGACATTTTCACCATCAAATCTGTAAGATGCATAATCACGAAGAATTGTAAAATTATCTATTCATATTCTGGAAAATTCATATTCTTAAAATTAAATATTATAACCAATTTGTTGATAATGGGCAGTTTCATACAACTGTCAATATTTACAGTGCTATTTTAAAATGACTCTAAAATGTGTTGTTTTTTAATAGGAAGAGATATAGAAATAATTAAAGAAATTTCAGGAAAGCACACACATTTCATTGTACATCTGTGTTTGTGCATGGAAAAAAATTGGCCCACGTATGTCAATATTGTCAATATAGCCTCAAAGAAAATAATTCAGCCTTGAGACTATATAATCATAGTATTTATTGGGGGGGAGATTGATCTGATTATTAATCATTGATAGAGGATAAAAATAATTTTCACCTAAATGAAATAAAATAATAAATGACTTTAGCATGTTTACAACAAATTTCCTTGAAAATTGTGACAGGTTAATTAAAATATTTCTGTAATATAATTGTGTTATACAACTGCATCCACTGGTGAATTCCTCTTAAATAGTACTACCTGCGATAACTTTTTTTTAAAAACAAAACTGTTTATAACTTAACAATAATTCAACATTTTATTCCTTGAAAATTCTTAACTGGAAAAATTGCATGTGGCATGATTTACCAAAGAAATGCTATGTGGTGTTGTATTACTTATTAGAAAGAGTGGTTTGAGCCATCAGTATTTGGTTTGCAGGGCACCACCACTGAAACGGAAATCAGAAAGAGAAGGTTAAGTTCTTACCAGATTTCAATGGAGATGCTGGAGGATTCGTCTGGAAGGCAAAGAGCCATGAGCATAGCCAGCATTCTGACCAACACAATGGAAGGTAAGAAGCAGGTCATGGAACAGTCAACTTTCTGTGATTATGTGCTTTGTGAACTATTCCTTCTTTTCATAGAGTTACTGAAGTCTGTTACCCAGATCAAAACTATATACTAGACCTAAGAATGTGATATATGGAGTATATTATCACATTGATTACAAAAACTAATATTGGCCTTATTTCTTTTTGAGTTGGGTCCTTACCTTGCTTGCAGAGTGATATTTCACCACTTGATATTATATCAATGAGGATTTCTTCTTATGTTATGTTACTCATATGCAAATAGAGTAAACTCTTCCCCCTTTCTAAGTCTTGGTATATAGAAGCATAAGGAAACATTTCTTTCAGGCTTTAGTCTGTTCTTCAGGCATGGAGGTGTTGATAGGGTTGTGGGAGCGCTTGAATGAGTTGGACAAATCAAAACCTGTCCTCCACTCCAAGAGAGATCCTACGAAAGGGTCTCTCTTCCATCTTCTACATACACAACAACCATTACATTCCTCCAAAGGACCATGGACAGATATGTTCATTGATTTTGACATACAGGAATGGGCAGCAACTATTTATACACTAAACTTGTTCATACTTCACACAGTCCTCACTCCGTGAAGTCTGGAGAGAGAATATATTAGTACTGCCCTTTTTAGATCAATTGTATGTCAATTCTAACATATGTTCTTTAAAAAACATCTATTACATTTTGTATCACGTCTTCTTGGTGTATTAGATATACAGTCACATAATAATTATTTTGTAACAGGCCTCATCCATTAAAATTTCAAGTAATATTTTAAATACATGATGCTAAAATTCTAAAAGATATGTACCAGCCACAAAAGTAGATTTGAGTCTGAATGTATACTAAAAAGAAAGGCATACTACATTCTCGTTGTGTGCAAGATGAATGTTGATATGGAAACTATGAGAGGAGAGAATAGTTCATAAATATTATCACACACATAAGGGATCACAACTTTAGACAATGTTTTTAAAAAGGTACTTTCAGAAGAAACCATAATTATTTAAAATTTTAATAGTTGTGTAATGCTTATTTAAAATTCTGTTTTGACAAAGAGAATACAGCAATTTAATCAATCATAACCTAGTGATTTTAAAGCAAAATATTAAATTCAAAGTGCTTATTTTCTGTATTTAAAAGAAAAAAGTCAATCTATATGACATTTTAATTAGTATTTTCTGAAAATATTTAATGGGATTGTCTTCTTAAGTTTCTTAAGTAATATGAATTTCTATTTTCAAATATAAGCATCAATTTTGTTAAATGATATAAAATCTACTGGCAATAATAACTCATTTTTGTTGTTATTTACTACTCTCCCTCTTTATTGTCCCTCCAGAACTTGAAGAATCTAGACAGAAATGTCCACCATGCTGGTATAGATTTGCCAATGTGTTCTTGATCTGGGACTGCTGTGATGCATGGTTAAAAGTAAAACATCTTGTGAATTTAATTGTTATGGATCCATTTGTTGATCTTGCCATCACTATTTGCATAGTCTTAAATACCCTCTTTATGGCCATGGAGCACTACCCTATGACCGAGCAATTCAGTAGTGTATTGACTGTAGGAAACCTGGTAAGTACATTTGAAGTTTACTTAATTACTTTGGCAGAGGTGGGAGACATAGACCAAAGGGAAAGATCTGTTCGTGCTGTGCTGAACCCAAAAATTGTATCCTCTTTCCTCATAGAAAGAAATATCTAAGGAATATTACAGGGAATCTCAGCAATAGAGCCTAAAACTCAGCTGGTATGAATGCTAATTGTTTAGGCCAATGTCTGTGCTGATTGATCGTGGTGTCTTACCAGTTGTAAACATCTCAAAATCTTTACAGTTGTTCTTTCTGGAAATGCGGGTCCAGATAAACCAGAAGATCTAATCCTGGCTCCACAAACATGTGGTTTTAACCCACACAGCCTCTAAAAAAATCATGTCCATTGAAAGGATGACCCAAAGATTGATGTATATTTTAAAAAAGAACATCATTGTTTCAAGTTAACTACCTAATAAAAAGCTTCAGTGATATTCATACAAGAAAATAAATAGTTGCTAAATGTGCATTTGTGATTTAGCCATACCTCTGGTTTAAATTACTGAGCATGCATCTGTGTCTGTGTGTGCTGATCAAAATGAGTGAACACGTAAGAAAAGGGTTTACATATATTATTAATCAAGACCTTGCCCTGTACTAACTCAAACAAACTTGGGGCAAGGGGTAGTGGGAAAACTGGAATGGAGGGAAAAGGTAGACTAACAAACTAAATAAAGGGCAGTATTGCAGTCTGACTTCAGGAACAGTCTTCATCAAGGGCTTAGATATGGCCTGCAAGTTCACTGCATCATTTGTCTTTAGGTCAGCAAATGTTCAGTAAAAGCTCACTGATTTTACATCTTACAACCTCTACACTGGAAAAAGCCTGAATCTCTTTTTGAGTCTCATTCCAAAGACTCCTGATAGAACTTCGGCATAATTTGGGTCAGATGCTCACCTCTGATTTAATCAGCTTTGGCAGAGGGTGGAATCGTGTTGAAAACATAGCAGTCCTGAGGAATCATGGGTGGAGGAGCAATTGCCAACAGAAGGGGGAAAGGAAATGCTAGTGGACAACTGGATAAATGTGTGCCCTAATAAGCGACCTCAAATTCTCTGCATTACGTGACTCAGTAGAATACTCACATATTCTTAAGATTTTCTTCATCTTTGGCAAAGGCCATGTCCCATTTTTCTGTTGCCTCTCTCAGTGTTTACATGGGAGTCACTCAATGAATAACCCACTGGTTGATACCTAGCCAAAAAGGCTGCTACAGGTAGCATGATTTTGCAAAAGAACACAGGCTTTGCAGTGGAGTGGAACTGAGTTTGACCTTAGTTGCCAGTGCTTACTAGTGATATGGCCTCTGGACAAGTCTGATAAACAATCTGAGTCTTTGTTTTCTACTATTGAAATGAGTGTAGTAATCCCCTTCGTGCGGAATTGTTGTGAAGGTCACATGAGGTAATGTGAAAGCACCTAGACTGTGCCTGGCATCTAGCATGTGCTCAATAAACAGTTTCCTTCCTCATATATATGCTATTACCCTTTCAGACCTTTCTTTGAAATAATGATGGAAAATATTTCTGGTGTAGTTCTTGTATTTTTCCCAGGATATTGGACAGTCAGGGAAGTTGAACAGGTGAAGGAAGATTTTGGAAACTTGCCAGAGTGAAACAGTAAATATAGAATTCCAATGTTGGAGCAGTTGAGTATGGAAACACAGGATAAGAGAGGCTGGATTATAAGATGATTGAATGAAAAAGCACATGACAAAAGCATCAAATCTAGGTCCTAGTCAAAGTGGTCATGGTAAATATCTGTGTGGTTTTGAAAAGTCACTTAGATCCTTGAGTCTATTTTCTCAACACACATATAAACAATGAGTGTGTTGGACTAAATGACTTTTTATGTATGTTCCAGTTCTACAATTCTATTACTTGATGGGTAGTAACTGAAATAATGAGGTGGGAAAGTGGAATGGGAGACTGATGCCTGGTAGATTGTTGGTGATAGAACCATCTATAAGTTCAGTTTAGTGCTGGGGAAACAAAACTTGTCAAGATAGAGAGCATAAATTATAGGGAACGGACCTGAGTTATTTATTTCTAACCATAACAATAGGAGAATATGTAAAGTGACTGACTCTATTGGTTGATACCTCCTTACTATAATGATTAACATATCAATAATGCATTGCATAATTTACAAAGCATTTGTTCATAGAATATCTTATTTCCTACCCATAACAACCTTTATCATAAATATTTATACATATGAAAGTAATACATATATTTAATATATAGGCAGACAGAGAGCATGTGAGAGAGAAAGACAGAATTTCTATCATGGGTGCTTAGCTGACTTAAGACTATATTATAGATCATAGATGATTACACAGCATGTTTTGTGGAGAGCTTATAATTTGCTCATTAACATATATTTAGAATATCTATGGACTAGTTTATTACGGCTCAAATTATTGCATACTGCCTTATATTATACATGAGGACATTGAATTGTGGAATTTTCCATCTTAACTTAGATCAACCTACCCCATTTTGTATTGTTTCTGCAGTACATAAAAATTAATCACTTCCTTGTTGATGAGATTAATCAAATTTGAATATCAAGAGACCTTGAATCTCAATTAAGTTTTGCTAAGGTGCTCTGTATTTTTGTGGAGTATTTTTCTGTTTGTTTTTTAATCATTATAAAATGCTTGCAACCATCATAGGGATTCAATAAGCAAAAAATAGCCTATCAATCGTAGTAGGTTAGACAACATCTTCATCATAACAAACATTTCCAACCTACCTGAAAATGCTGAAACTAGATTAAAATGTACCAAAAACAATCCCATTGATTTTTAGGGCCTTAACTGAAAACATTTACAGAGATATAGCTGTCATTTTGGATTACTAGCTGTAATAAAAATATTATTTTTAATGAAAAGTTTCATGGTGGGATTACATTTTTAGATAAGCGTAAATTTAGGGTATATGTTTTTAAAGGCATGAGATCTAGTCATTTTAGAAGAGCTGAAAATACCACCTTATGATTTTCTATAGAAAGAGATGTTTGTAGATTATTTCCCTGGATGGTTCTAGCTCACTTTAAATAATATATTTCTATCATCAGAGTGCCTATTTCAAATAATAACTGCTTCTAAAAGTTTTATACAAGAAATAAAATTTGTATAGTTAGAACTTACTTTGTATTTACCAGGCAAAATCACTATTTGAAAAAAAGAATCTTTGATGTGTTATTCTGTAAAATGAAAAATATATTTTTCAATGGGCATTTCACCATATACCTGGATTTTCATGTACTAGGCTTGCTTAAAATACATTTTATTTCTATTTGAGTGAATGGATGACTACCGTGAGGCTGTTTTTCTTTCTGTGATGGGTATTTTTCATCTGTGATTGGAAACAATGAAGTGTTAGCTGAATTTATACATCTGTAAGGGTGGATCAATATTTCTTTTAAGTAATACAATGTTTTAGGAAACCAAATAATTGTTATACTGTTATTTTGACAGAATTCCTTCAAGATAAAGGCTGATTTATCTTGGTAAATGCTAAGCTTGACTTTACAGTCATAAATTGTAATTTTTAACTATAGTGAATTAAGAGAATTGCTTTAAAAGATTTTCTGCAAGAGTGATTTCACAATTCTTCATGTCCTGTGTCTCTCAGCCTATCATTTTGAGTTAAAAAATAAATGTGTTTGTTTCATTGTTTTTCTTTCTATTGTCAAATACACATTTAGCTAGCCACTCAAGTGATTTATTAATCTTATTTACATGTATATGCATACTGAGTATTTTCTCCTGCTGGTTTCAGTTAAATCTGCAGTTTGTTACTCTACTAATCCATTAACCTTAATTCTGAGGCATGCATCCAGAGATCGTTATTATAAACCATTTACGGCAAACTTACTCTTGTTTCAGGAATGTTTATAAAATTATAGAAATAAGATGGTATCCCTTAAAAAACACAAAATCAAAAACAAAATATGGTTTTTATGAAATCAATTTTTAATAACTTTCAATAATATGTGGATTTGTTCCTGATGCAATACTACCCAGAAATGAATTTGGTTGTGATTGTGTTAGACATGTAGTGTACCAACAAGGGCAATAATTCAGGAGCTATTATTCAATACCAGATTTAAAATGTAGACCACGAAATGTTTTAAAATTAGTGTTTTTCTTGGAAATCCAGCAGATTCATTAAATAATATCACTCTGCTTAATAAAATACTCTCCTAGAGGGGAAAAAAAAAATGCTAGACATGACTGGGTGTGGTGGCTCATGCCTGTAATCCCAGTACTTTGGGAGGCTGAGGCGGGCAGATCACTTGAGGTCAGGGGTTCGAGATTGGCCTGGCCAACATGATGTGAAACCCTGTCTCTACTGAAATTACAAAAATTAGCTGGGCATGGTGGCCCACTCCTGTAATCCCAGCTATTTGGGAGGCTGAGGCAGGGGAATCACTTGAACCTGGGAGGCGGAGGTTGCAGTGAGCCGACATCGTGCCACTGTACTCCAACCTGGGCAACAGAAGGAGACAATGTCTCAAAAATAAATAAATAAAAATGAAAATGAAAACAAAAAAAAAAAAGCTAGACTTGAGTTGATTTGTCACATTTTCTCACTTTAAATTTTAGATATTTTTATTCCTGACTATTAATGTTCTTCTTTATAAATTCATGTAGCATCAGTGTTTTTCAGTGCTCTTGAAGTAGTGCTGATCTCTATTTTTAGGTCTTCACTGGGATTTTCACAGCAGAAATGGTTCTCAAGATCATTGCCATGGATCCTTATTACTACTTCCAAGAGGGCTGGAATATCTTTGATGGAATTATTGTCAGCCTGAGTTTAATGGAGCTTGGTCTATCAAATGTGGAAGGATTGTCTGTACTGCGATCATTCAGACTGGTATCTATTTATATATATTCCTGTCGCTCATTGGCACATTTATTTTGAAATTGAATCAATGTATATTTATATAATTATTAATTTTAATTTTAATTTTACATCAATATATAACATTCTAAAAAATTATAAACATCCTCTTTAAGTATAAACAGTTTCTAAGATTGATGAAAGCGTTTGAAATACTTTATAATGATTAGGTATGTAGGGCACATCTGAAAACCTACGTGTACTTCCCAAAACTGTGTTTTCAGTTTATGAAGTTTTTTTGGCCTTACAGTCTGTAAAGACATGCAAATAAGAATTTTAGGCCCCAATTAATTTTAGCTTTTTATTAACCCTACTTCTATGAATGGGGACTGTTTTAAAGCAACATGCGGGGAAATATTTGATGTTATTAATATCTTAAATAATTGTATAACAAACTTTTTAAATTATAGCACAATTTTATTGAGAAATATATACAATTTTTATTGAAAATTAAGCAAAATGTGTATTCAAATTTTTTCTGTACATTTGTATCATATTATTTAGTTTATTTTACTTTTATTTGGCCCATAAAAATATATGATTTATACTTTTAATATTTCTTTTTACTCTCTAAAATAGAACCTGAAGATAACATTAGTTTGCTAATTTAAAAATGTCTCTAATCAAAATATCAATTTGTTTACATGGGCATATCTTTTGATGAATCAGAAATGTTTTATTTATTATTTCTGAAATGTTTTATTATTTTTACTTTTGCCCTTAAATGATATTATGACCTGATTTACAATTCTAATATTGTTAACACTGGTTTTTCTGGATTTGAAATTGAATTAGTTCAGCATATTTTGAGTTTTTACATCTACCACATGTGGTTCTATGATACCACATACTAATAAAATAATGTATAAAATTATATTATGATTACTACTAAGAGCATCTTTTCACTTCATTACAGCTTAGAGTTTTCAAGTTGGCAAAATCCTGGCCCACACTAAATATGCTAATTAAGATCATTGGCAATTCAGTGGGGGCTCTAGGAAACCTCACCTTGGTATTGGCCATCATCGTCTTCATTTTTGCTGTGGTCGGCATGCAGCTCTTTGGTAAGAGCTACAAAGAATGTGTCTGCAAGATCAATGATGACTGTACGCTCCCACGGTGGCACATGAACGACTTCTTCCACTCCTTCCTGATTGTGTTCCGCGTGCTGTGTGGAGAGTGGATAGAGACCATGTGGGACTGTATGGAGGTTGCTGGCCAAACCATGTGCCTTATTGTTTTCATGTTGGTCATGGTCATTGGAAACCTTGTGGTACGTATGTATTACAAATGCTCATAAATTAGAACAAGAGCAGACAGTAGCTGGGAAGGTGGCCAGATATGGTAAACATATCTCTGGTTTATAGTAAGTGGCCTAGACTAAAATCCCCCTATTAACACTCTGAGAATGAGCAAGTTATTTAACCTCTCCTGGACTCTGGTTTCCCATTTTTTATGACATTGGGATAACAAAACTGAAATCATATCTTTGATGTAAAGATTAAATCAGGGGTATTTATGAATGCCTGAGGGGCATAACTATTAGATTTTCCTTTCTTCTTCAAAGAAAGTAAATTTTTATCACTAAGACGAATTGTGTCCTAATATTGTTTTGATATGAAAATGACCTCTACTAAATCTAAAAAGACAACTATCTATTCTATAATCAAATTGCTCTTTGCATGTTCATAGTTCATGTAGTTGGCTTACTCAGAGATATAGGTCATATACTACCAAGTTTTGAAGACACATTTCAGTGAAGTAGACCATTATATTTTAGCTATGCATTGTAATTATCCAGGTAACTTGGAGGAGGACAAAATGTTTCCTTCCCTGAATTTGCATTACTAAAGGAAAACCAATTATTACAGTTTAACTTATTCATATGTATGGACATTGTTCAGACTCAAAGGGCTTAGTTTTAACTGTGACTTAAAATCACTAATATAAAAACATAGTTTATATAGTTAGATGTTTAATGCTTAAATTTCTCAATCATGTGTGGGCAAAGCATTTCTTTATGTCATTACATTAGGCCTTTCCTTTGAGGGGGATACATTTCAGATAAACTTGTTCAAAAGAATGCTACTGGGATACCTACAAACACGCAAATTTTTTCTCCAGAATAGTAAATTAGGGAGCTCTAGATTCTGAAAAAAAATCTGATACAGAAATAGGGAAACAAACTGGGGCTTTTGCCTTGCATGTCTTCCTATAGTGTAACATATTCTGAAACTCAATAACTAACTCCATTTCAGGCTAAAAATATTGTTATAAATTTTCTTTTACATCAGAAATAATGAATTATTCCTGCATTAACCATAACTTACCAGTTGGCTGGGTAGCTTTTTCACATATCCTATGATATTCTGAGAGTTAATATTGCCTCATACTTTCTACACACATGCACACACACACAAAGAAAGAAAAAGAAAACTTATGAGTTTAGCCTAAACCCTGGTACACTTTTTGATTTCTCTCCATCTGTTGAGCTATTTGAACACATAAATTTCAAAGTGTATTTGATGGGAAACATGTTAAATCGTATATAATTTGACTTAGAAATTTCTGCTGTTATAAAAGTTTGTGGCCATCGGGCCAAAGGAATTTGTATTTCAAGTGCATCATTTGGTACATATCATCAGGCTATTAAATAAATGAGTTCATTCTTTATATACATGAAGCTAGAAATTCCCTAGGGAAAAAAAATGGTAAGATGAAGTAAGATAAAATGATTAAGATGAAAGTATCTTTTTTTCTCTCTCATTGGCAAAAACCTTGAGGGCGAGATTTTGTCTTTTCCCTGGCAAACCTGAGTAGACACCATTTAAAATCTTAGAAGCTCTGCTTTCCTATTGTCCCTCCCAACAGGAAAAAAGGAGAGGTGCTTGTTTTATCGTTTTGCCCTTAGAGCAGGATATCAAGTCCTTTAAAGAGTGTGTGACTTAGGCATGGCATCTGAAATATAGTAAGCATTCAATAAACATTTGCTGAAATAATTTTAGCAAAGATCTGAGTTCCCTTTTTAGGCTGTTATTTAAATGCATATTTCAATATTAAAATAGTTTTTTTCGTTTTTTCTTTTAGGTTCTGAACCTCTTTCTGGCCTTATTGTTGAGTTCATTTAGCTCAGACAACCTTGCTGCTACTGATGATGACAATGAAATGAATAATCTGCAGATTGCAGTAGGAAGAATGCAAAAGGGAATCGATTATGTGAAAAATAAGATACGGGAGTGTTTCCGAAAAGCCTTTTTTAGAAAGCCAAAAGTTATAGAAATCCATGAAGGCAATAAGATAGACAGCTGCATGTCCAATAATACTGGAATTGAAATAAGCAAAGAGCTTAATTATCTTAGAGATGGGAATGGAACCACCAGTGGTGTAGGTACCGGAAGCAGTGTTGAAAAATACGTAATCGATGAAAATGATTATATGTCATTCATAAACAACCCCAGCCTCACCGTAACAGTGCCAATTGCTGTTGGAGAGTCTGACTTTGAAAACTTAAATACTGAAGAGTTCAGCAGTGAGTCAGAACTAGAAGAAAGCAAAGAGGTAAGAATGCTTTTAAATTTTTTGTTGTATTTCCTATGATAACCATGTACTACAGTTATTTACTATTTTCATTGTACTTATATGCATTATTAAAAAGTAATATTGAAAGTCATATATATATATATATATATATAGTGATGCTGGAAAATCACCAGATACTCTTTATGGGGAAATGCATTTCTAAAAATTCCAACTTTTCACAAGAAATTAAACCATTCTGAGTATTTAGTATATTCATTTTCTTGATCGTTTGAAAATGTGGTTTAAAAATGTGGCCTTTTAGGCTGGGCATGGTGGCTCATGCCTATAATCCCAGCACTTTGGGAGGCCAACAAGGCTGATCATTTGAGTCCAGGAGTTCAAGACCAGTCTGGACAAGATGGCGAAATCTCCTCTCTACAAAAAAATATGAAAATTCACTGGGCATGGTGGCACATGCCTGTAGTCCCAGCTACAAAGGAGGCTGAGGTGAGAGGATTGCTTGAGCCCAGGAGGTAGAGGCTGCAGCGAGCCATGATCACATTACCCTACTCAACCCTGAGTGACAAAGCAAGACCCTATCTCAAAAAAAGAAAAGTAGCCTTCCAAAAAAGAGATGTTATTTAATACATTACACTCTCAACTACATTATGTTCTTTAAAAAAATAAATGAACTTATTTTCTTGATCTCCTTACTCTCTATATTAGGTTTTGCTTATTTTTATGTGAAAATTTATGTACTTTTGTTAACCTCTGAAAGTCTGATTCACTATGATAGTGTTTCATTTATGAAAGTGTTATACACATTAGGAAAGTGCAAGTAGGACTGATTATATTTTGCCCAGTCAAGGATGAGCAAATCTATAGTCTTCCAGAGTAACTTGAAAATACTAAGAACTACTTTAAAAAGCTTCACTTGAGGGCTATAGTTATTTTGTAGATTAATTAACCTGCTCTTACTGTTGTATTACTAAGGAAGAGAAAAAAGAAGGAAGGGAGGAAGGAAGGAACGAAGGAAGGAAGGAAGGAGAGGAGGGAGGGAGGGATGAAAGAAGGAAGGAAAGAAGGAAGGAAGGAAGGAGAAAGAAGAGGGAGAGGAAGGAAGGAAGGAAGGAAGGAAGGAAGGAAGGAAGGAAGGAGAGGAGAGGAGGGAGGGATGAAAGAAGGAAGGAAAGAAGGAAGGAAGGAAGGAGAAAGAAGAGAGAAAGAAAGGAAGGAAGGAAGGAAGGAGAGGAGGGAGGGAGGGATGAAAGAAGGAAGGAAGGAGAAAGAAGAGGGAAAGGAAGGAAGGAAAGAAAGAAAGAAAGAAAGAAAGAAAGAAAGAAAGAAAGAAAGAAAGAAAGAAAGAAAGAAAGAAAGAGAAAGAAAGAAAAGAAAGAAGAAAGAAAGAAAGAGAAAAGAAAGAAAGAAAGAAAAGAAAGAAAGAAAGAAAGAAAGAAAGAAAGAAAGAAAGAAAGAAAGAAAGAAAAAGAAAGGAAAGAAGGAAGGAAGGAGGGAAGGAAGGAAGGAAGGAAGGAAACTAATCATCCTACTGCATGATTAGTATTCTTAAGTTTCTATCATAGTAGTAATGGTATTAATTCTTCAATTCTGTGTTGTGGAAAAGAGGATTAAAATTCTTTACTATTATTTATATATAGACATTTAATATATGAATACAAAGTAAGTCTAGTACAGATGGAGTTATAAAAGACACGTTTTAGCTTAAGGGTATAATGTTGACACAGTGGGAACCAAACCAACAATGTATGATTTTGTGAGCATATTTTGGAACTCTTTTTTGTAAATAAGCGTATCAACAAAATTTGATCTGAAATCCTTATAATAGGTAACTGACAATCTTACAACTCATAGCTTCCTGAGTTTTTTCAGGTATTTTAGAGTTGCTGAAAGATAGTATGATAATAAATTGGAAAATATTTTGAAAAAGGTAAAATACCTACAAAATTAGGTAGTGATTTTTTTCTCTGAATTCCATTTAAAGTCTGCTTAGTGAGTTCAATTCTAATTTATGTTGCTCATTCTGACAAACTAAGAATTCAACTCTAATTTTATTTCTGATCACTTGGTATGAATTTATGTAAGAAGCAATACCAGTCAATTAACAAGAACTTACTGAGCACTTTTTGTGAATTCAGCAATCTGCTGGATGCTAGGGGTGAAGAAGAGCTCTATAACAAAACTCTCCTTCAAGGAAATCTCAACATGTTTGAGTAAGCTAACATGAACTCATGAAATCATTAAAGACCCATTAAAAAGTTTAATCCTGTCAGGTTGCATATGAGGCTATAGATATTGAGGACAGCAAGAGTCATTGCTAAATGGAAGAGATAAAATTGAAATAGGCCTCAAAGTTTGGGTCAATATAGATTAACAGAAAGCAAAATGCTGAAGCTTACTAAAGGAAAGCTGGAGCTGACAGTGAGCTTGGTATTAAAGAGAGTTTAGGGTTATTATTGCAGATTATCATGCAGTGATAATCTACAGAGGTAAGTATTGGTTGAATATATAGTGGAAAATATGTTTGAATGTGTGAGGTAGTTTCAGATTATAAAGTTTTAAAGTAAGCCACAGAGTTTGGAGTTAATAGGGAGCTATTTTCTGTTCTGAAGTAGGGGAAGGCAATAGGAAAGTGCTGTTTTAAGAACATTAATTTGACATCAAAGAGTAAAACAGTTTAGAGTGAAAGATAAGAAAGATTATCTTGGGGAATGTGGTGATAATCATTCGATAGCAATGAGGTGATAAAATTCTCAGCTAGGGTAATAAGTAATGAGAATTGAGACTCATTGGCAACCTGAGAAACCTACTAAAGAATCTGGGAAAATGGAAAAACAGCAATGCCACTTTCTGAAATGGCCTTTAAAAAGGGCTACCCGGTTTATGTTGGAAAAGGAGTTCAATTGGGATATACTGAATTGGAAGCATCAGTGTTGGGAAACAGTCTGAGTCAGAGGTCAGGGTTTAAAAATAAGGTAAAATGTTTGATAATGCAGATTTTATAATTACCTGATTCCCTGAAAATGAAGGAGCTCATCAAATAAGTAATTATAAAGTGAAAGAAAAAAGAGAAAACTAGAGACAAAGTAGCATAAAAACTTGGGGTCAAAAAGAGGCAGAAAAGCTAAAAGGCAGAAAACTTTTTCTAGATTAATACCACAGAATTTTTTGACATCAGATTTATGGAAAGTAAATATCTTAATTTCCTCCTACCGAACAGTTGGTTTCCAAACTACTTTAAAAATTTCATAATGACCACAGATATTTCAAATGACTGCTCATTATCATGTCTTTTTAATGGTTTAAACATCATAAATTTAGAATAACAAGATATAAATCTCTCCCTTGTTATGTAATCCTGGAAAACATTTCTTACCTGAACAAAAAGGTCTTCTAGGGTGATTGTGATAACTACTTTATCCTCTTCCAAGCTAAATTTTGAATACATAGAATTCAATTACAAAATGTAAAGAAATTATTTAAAATATATAAATATGTTAGTGGGAAAATCATTAAATAAATATAAAGGTATGTATTTTTATAAAGCTAGAATAAAATTTCAAATTATCTTGCACAGTAATATTAAATTCATCCAACAATAAATTTTATGTGAATGATTTAGTCAAATGAATACTTTAAAAACCCACCAAAACAGTAACAGGGCAACTCTCATACATGCTCACACACAAGATAAAAAGCAGACAGTTTTTAAAATAAAAAGCCAATACCAGCATGTTCTAATATTATAGAGCAGATTAGATGAATTCTAGCAAAGTGCATTTTTTATTTGAAATTTCCAAAAGCTGCTAGCACACTTCAGGTGCACACTTACATTGGCTGGGTTATTCCTTTTTAATAGGTATCACACACACACAAACACATTTAAAATAACATATCCATAAAGTGACATTTTGGTTCATGTTTCTTAGGTTTTTGACACAAGTAGCAAGAGAACATTGAACTTTACTTTGCAGAGCACAGAATATCCTTCCTCTTTGCTAATAAAGGAAGCACTCATATAAGTTAAACCCACCAGAGTTATACATTTTTCACTAAAAAAAATTTCATGAAATGTCTACTTGAAGAGGAGACAGTAAATTAATCATTAATTTATATGGTATTTGAAAACTCCAGTTACTGTATTTCTTCTGTTCATTTTCCTAATAAAGGATACCTGACTAGTGCAGCTAAAGAGAAATGATCCCTAGAAGATTTTAGAGATAAACATAGGAATTGCTGTTATATATGTGTGTGTATATATCTGTATATATGAATACCACTAACATAAATAGGCTGGTATGGAAGCAAATACAAACTTTTGCATGAAAAAAGGTCAGGAAATTGAAGGCATGGATTTCAAAATAGTGATTTTTTTTTTTAATATTGCAAAAACTTGGAATTATACGAATCTTTTTGAGACGCTCTAATGTAGAATTTGTTTTTATTTTTTTAAGTTCTCATAATCACGATTTCTTGAAATATTTCTATAACTATGAATTTTTACAATTTAATTCTTAAAAGATTATTGGTTTGTCTTCCTAAGTGAAAGATATAGAATAAATGCTTTTAACAATCATATTTGAAGTTGAATTCCAAACACAATCTAGCAATATCATACTGTGACCTTCACCGCTTACCATTCTTACTTCTCACAGGAGTAAAATCAAGCTGGAGCCATCAAGAATGCAGCTCTGGTGTTTTTTAACCAGCCAGAGGCTCGTGCCACCACTTTTACCCAGGTTACCCAAGCAAGTTGTACATGTATAATCACGTTCTAAATGAATTTTGACTGGCCTGCATGCTACTCAGCTATGTTCCTTCCCCTGCCATGGCAAGGAAGTGCTAGACTTGCCCAGCTGCTCTCTGCTGAATCGTGTGACACATCACAGCATGGTCAGGCGAGATGGGCAATCCCAACATCATATTTAATTCTGCTAATGGGTTTTCTAATTTAGTCTTTAGCCTTTTAAAATCAATTGCATGCTCTATAGGATCTATAATATCTATTTTAAAACATGATA